CTGCAGCCTAATATTCCTGATTTCACAGCAGCTTTTCTAAAAACACATATTGCATTTTTCAATGTGCCTGAAATAACCCACCAGTACTAAGTACCAGCACTTTTGATCTTGAGTACCCTTACTTCGTATTGAATACAGCCAGGTCATCAAGGTCTGTACTTCAGTATGTTTTATGAGCAGTATGCAATAGAAGTTGTGAAATAATCGGCAAAAAATGACTTTAATTTGATGCAAAACCACTCTAGCAAGATCAGATTTTAGACCTTAGTATTCCATAAAACCTATGTGCAGCAATCCTGGTGAGGTACTCCTAAATGCCTACATACAGTGGGTACGGAAAGTATTCAGACCCCTTTAAAATTTCCACTCTTTGTTTCATTGCAGCCATTTGCTAAAATCAAACAAGTTCATTTTATTTCTCATTAATGTACACTCAGCACCCCATCCTGACAGAAAAAAACAGAAATGTAGAAATTTTTGCAAATTTATTAAAAAAGAAAAACTGAAATATCACATGGTCATAAGTATTCAGACCCTTTGCTGTGACACTCATATTTAACTCACATGCTGTCCATTTCTTCTGATCCTCCTTGAGATGGTCCTGCTCCTTCATTGGAGTCTAGCTGTGTTTAATTAAACTGATTGGACTTGATTAGGAAAGGCACACACCTGTCTATATAAGACCTTACAGCTCACAGTGCATGTCAGAGCAAATGAGAATCATGAGGTCAAAGGAACTGCCCAAGGAGCTCAGAGACAGAATTGTGGCAAGGCACAGATCTGGCCAAGGTTACAAAAGAATTTCTGCAGCACTCAAGGTTCCTAAGAGCACAGTGGCCTCCATAGAGAAGAGCCTTGGTGAGAGAGGGGAAGAAGAACCCAAAGATCAGTGTGGCTGAGCTCCAGAGATGCAGTAGGGAGATGGGAGAAAGTTCCACAAAGTCAACTATCACTGCAGCCCTGCACCAGTCGGGGCTTTATGGCAGTGTGGCCCGACGGAAGCCTCTCCTCAGTGTGAGACATATGAAAGCCCGCATAGAGTTTGCCAAAAAACACATGAAGGACTCCCAGACTATGAGAAATAAGATTCTCTGGTCTGATGAGGCCAAGATTGAACTTTTTGGCGTTAATTCTAAGCGGTATGTGTGGAGAAAACCAGGCACTGCTCATCACCTGCCCAATACAATCCCAACAGTGAAACATGGTGGTGGCAGCATCAGGCTATGGGGATGTTTTTCAGCTGCAGGGACAGGACGACTGGTTGCAATTGAAGGAAAGATGAATGCGGCCAAGTACAGAGATATCCTGGAAGAAAACCTCTTCCAGAGTGCTCAGGACCTCAGACTGGGCCGAAGGTTCACCTTCCAACAAGACAATAACCCTAAGCACACAGCTAAAATAACAAAGGAGTGGCTTCGGAACAACTCTGTGACCATTCTTGACTGGCCCAGCCAGAGCCCTGACCTAAACCCAATTGAGCATCTCTGGAGAGATCTGAAAATGGCTGTCCACCAACGTTCACCATCCAACCTGACAGAACTGGAGAGGATCTGCAAGGAAGAATGGCAGAGGATCCCCAAATCCAGGTGTGAAAAACTTGTTGCATCATTCCCAAGAAGACTCATGGCTGTAGTAGCTCAAAAGGGTGCTTCTACTCAATACTGAGCAAAGGGTCTGAATACTTATGACCATGTGATATTTCAGTTTTTCTTTTTTAATAAATTTGCAAAAATTTCTACATTTCTGTTTTTTTCTGTCAAGATGGGGTGCTGAGTGTACATTAATGATGAACTTTTTTGATTTTAGCAAATGGCTGCAATGAAACAAAGAGTGAAAATTTTAAAGGGGTCTGAATACTTTCCGTACCCACTGTAACTGAGTCTCCGTGTAATCATATAGCTAACTTAACACTAAGAAAACAGCACTAAAATGTCCTTATGTTGTGTTTAGGGTTGTCCTGAATTAGGGTTGTGGCACCTTTTTTGGTCTAATTCACTCACTGTATAATTAACATGAATAAATTCACTAGTAGTTTGGTGATGTATGGCGCAACGTGTTGTGCAGGCGACTGCTGTGATTGGGTCAAATTTGCAGGAAAGTTGCTGTAATTGGAAAAATAGTACGATCGCGCAGAATTCACAGGGATTGATTAAATTTGCATTGATTTCTGTGACTGCAACATCACAACTTCCTGGAGGGACTGAAAAACATTAAAAGATGGATTAAATACAAATATTAAATCATTTATTAACTCAAAATGTGGCACTTTTACTAAATAAAATGAATTTATATTTATTTACACTGTATCAGTTATAATTTATAATATTCAATGAATGAAGAATGCAACTGACAGTCAGTGGTAGAGGACACATTCAGATCACTTACTGTATAAATACTCTTATGACGATAAGTCCTGACTGTCAACTGACTGTAATTACTATATAGTTAAATATCATTAGATTATTACTTGAGCATTAAAGCAGAATTTACTGTAGCTGGTTGAGGTGGAGCTCATTTGTAACTTTGTACAGGACTGCAACTTTGATGACACCTCCTGTGTATCTACTCTGCTCTAATGATTATTTTCATTATGGATTAATATGCTGATTATTTTCTCCATTAATCAATTGATTACTTGATTTGTAAAAACTCTGAATATAGAGAGAAATGTGTCGTTACAATCACCCACAGCCCAAAGTGACACCTTAACAAAGCTTATTGTGTCCAACCAGCGGTCCAAACCTCAAAACTATTCAAAATAAATTAATATTATTGAAATGATTTAAAGGAAAAGCAGAAATTTCTCACAGATCTGAGGCTGAAACCATTAAATGTTTTTGCATGAAAAAGGACTTATAGTAATTAATTTTCAGTCAATCAGCAAATTGAAATAAATCATATTTTATAAACTCTTCACATGTTTTAATGCAAAATGTGTGTAAAAGTATAAAAATAATGAAGTAAAATGTACAATATTGTCCCTGCATGGAGTTGAAGTAAAAAGAGCCTTTAAAGAAAATAATTAAAGGACAATTACCTCAAATTTATACTTGAGTAAATCTACTTACATTCCACCACAGTAACAAAAACCAAATACACAGACCTTCCTGATAATAAATCCTTTGTTATCTATCTCAGTGTAACATGATGTTCTACACTATCTCTGTGCAGTGAAGTGTTTTTCCAGCAGATGGAGACAAGTCTTTCATTTTACCAACTTATTGTAGAGTGTTAATTATACATGAGAAGTTACACACATTAAAAGGTTTTACTGTAAATTTAGTTGTCTGCAGTATATAAATATACATTCAATTGTGTAACCTTCCTCACAGGTGCTTTTTTGCTTTCAATGTTCTGCTGCTTTGTACTATTTTATACTGCACTATATTTTCAGAGGCAAATACTACTTTTCCTTCACTGCATTTATTTATAACTTTAGTTACCAATCACTTTTCAGATTCACATGAATAGACCAGCTATTTAGACTTGCTTTAATTTAAAATGTGTAATAATACATTTGTTTAACTCTATTTTTGTTGTTTTAGATGGCTGTTGCTTTGTCTCTTATGTGCTACATAAATAAACTTATTATTAATAACAATGCAAAACATAATTAAGAAATACATTATCATGTGTCATTATAGGTTAATTATAAAAACATATTATAGGTTAAAATTAAGATAGAGGCAGAAATTCACAAGCTAGCGGTGTATAAAGTAAATAAAATTAGCTCATGCATCAGTAATTATAATCCAAGAATATAATGTTTATTATTCTGAAATGAGCCACTCTGCATAATTAGATAAGATAAGATAAGATGTTCCTTTATTGAAATCCAATGTAGTGCAAAAGAGTAGAGAAAGAATAAAATACAATAAAATACAATAAAATACAATAAAAATATAATATAAATATAAATATACACTATATGCAATGTATAACCGCAATGTTTGACAATAGTAAAACTAATGAGTACTTTTACTTTTGTACTTTGACTTAAAATCACATTTTATTTTACACAGTTTCTGCACAGTAGTGTGTGTGTGTGTGTGTGTGTGTGTGTGTGTGTGTGTGTGTGTGTGTGTGTGTGTGTGTGTGTGTGTGTGTCTGTGTGTGTGTGTGTGTGTGTGTGTGTGTGTCTGTGTGTGTGTGTGTGTGTGTGTGTGTGTGTGTGTGTGTCTCTTTGTGTGTGTGTGTGTGTGTGTCTGTGTGTGTGTGTCTCTTTGTGTGTGTGTGTGTGTGTGTGTGTGTCTCTCTCTGTGTGTGTGTGTGTCTCTCTGTGTGTCTCTGTGTGTGTGTGTGTCTCTCTGTGTGTCTGTGTGTGTGTGTGTGTGTGTGTGTCTTTCTGTGTGTCTGTGTGTGTGTGTGTGTGTGTGTGTCTCTGTGTGTGTGTGTGTGTCTCTGTGTGTGTGTGTGTGTGTGTGTGTGTCTCTCTGTGTGTGTATGTGTGTATGTGTGTGTCTGTGTGTGTGTGTGTGTGTGTGTCTCTCTGTGTGTCTCTGCGTGTGTGTGTGTCTCTGTGTGTGTCTCTGTGTGTCTCTGTGTGTGTGTGTCTTTCTGTGTGTCTCTCTGTGTGTGTGTGTGTCTCTGTGTGTGTGTGTGTGTGTCTTTCTGTGTGTCTCTGTGTGTGTGTGTGTGTCTCTGTGTGTGTGTGTCTCTCTGTGTGTGTGTGTGTGTGTGTGTGTCTCTCTGTGTGTGTGTCTCTGTGTGTGTGTGTGTCTCTGTGTGTGTCTCTCTCTGTGTGTGTCTCTGTGTGTGTGTGTGTGATGTCTCTGTGTGTGTTTCTTTGTGTGTGTGTGTGTCTGTGTGTGTGTCTCTCTCTGTGTGTGTCTCTCTCTGTGTGTGTCTCTGTGTGTCTGTGTGTGTGTGTGTGTGTGTCTCTGTGTGTGTGTGTGTGTGTGTGTGTGTGTGTGTGTGTCTCTGTGTGTGTCTCTGTGTGTGTCTCTGTGTGTGTGTGTGTGTGTGTGCTCTGTGTGTCTCTGTGTGTGTGTCTCTGTGTGTGTGTCTCTGTGTGTGTGTGTGTGTGGCCTCAGTGATCCAGATAAGCTGATTGACGGTGAGGAGAAACAGGAGGCTGCAGCGACCAGCTCGTGGAAACCGTCCGAGGAGAAAGTGGCAGCAATGAACCGACCGGGTAAGTCTACATCACAGTTAACGTTTTAACAACAATTCAATTAAATTCCCGCCGGTGTCTTTGTTAGTTGTAGTCGGCAGTTAACTTGTTTGTAGCGGGTTTATGCTGCTGTGGACGCTGGATAACGTTAGCTCCGTGTGCAACAAGTAGCTAACGTTAGCTGTTAGCTTCAGTTAGCTTCAGTTAGCTGTTAGCTTCAGTTAGCTTCAGTTAGCTGTTAGCTTCAGTTAGCTTCAGTTAGCTGTTAGCTTCAGTTAGCTGTTAGCTTCAGTTAGCTTCAGTTAGCTGTTAGCTTCAGTTAGCTTCAGTTAGCTGTTAGCTTCAGTTAGCTGTTAGCTTCAGTTAGCTTCAGTTAGCTGTTAGCTTCAGTTAGCTGTTAGCTTCAGTTAGCTTCAGTTAGCCTCAGTTGTGGGAGTTCAGCACGAAGGACAGCTCCCAACGGTACATCTGTTCTCACTGGAGTTTTAAACTTATTTAACTCGTTACCCATTAATATATATATATATATTTTATATATATCTATATATATATATATCTATATATATATATATATATATGTATATATTATATGTTATGTTTTAAAGTATGCAACACCTTTATCTCAGTAAAATTATATTTATATTCATATTTATTCCCCCACACTGTAATCTACTGGGCTCACATGTGTTACACCAGTTATTATAGTTTATAGTTTTTCATTAGTTTTTTATTTTGATTTCGTTTTTAATTCAGTTTAGTTTCATTTAGTTTCCAGAGTGGATTTGCTAGTTTCAGTTTCTTTATTTTTTTTAATTTTAGTTTTAGTTAAAGTTTTATTAGTTTTATTTTTATTAGGCTATTATATAAAGCAAGTTATTTGTCTGGGGCAAGATTTAAGAAGTTCAGAATAAAATATTATTTTATTATTTTATTTTATTGGTTCCTTTGCATTTTGCATTTTGCCTCCTGTTGTTTTTATTATCTATCTATCTATCTATCTATCTATCTATCTATCTATCTATCTCTTTATATATCTATCTATCTATCTATCTATCTATCTATCTATCTATCTATCTATCTATCTATCTATCTATCTATCTATCTATCTATCTATCTATCTATCTATCTCTGCCTCCTTTGAAGGTTTCAGGGCTGTTTCTTCATCCATGAAAATGTTATTTGATGATATTTATTCACCCACACACTCTATTTAAAGGGTCTCCTGTGTAATATCTAATTTTTCTTTTCAATTCAGTTTAGTTTCAGTTAGTTTCCAGAGTGAATTTGTTCACATCAGTTTCGTTTTTATTATTTTAAAAATGTTAGTTTTGGTTTTTATTCATTTCAGTGTTAATTATTTTTTTATTAGGTTATTATATTATTGTGGGGACAGTTCAGGGTTGATATTACAATAAAAACACACAGACTCACAGTCGTAGACATCCAGTATCTATCTATCTATCTATCTATCTATCTATCTATCTATCTATCTAATGTTTAATCACCCATGCGTCTTTGGAAGGTTTTGGTGTGGCTTCATCATCCATGAACTTCACCACAAGGATATCAGAAAATGGATGCTCTCCCTCAGATCTAACAGAGGAGGACGTAGAGAGTCTACAGATTGAACTTTCAAAGGTTATTGATCACAATATACTTTTAACACAAACTAGATAAAGTTAATACGTTCAACAGCAACCTGTCACTTTTGCCTCTCTACTGGTTAAAACTGTTTTTGGTGTTTTTCTCCTACGTAGATTGAGGATGAAATTCAGACCCTGCGGCAGGTGCTGTTGGTCAAAGAGAAATATGCCACAGACATCAGGAGGCAGCTGGGTATGAGTCCTCTCAGTAACATCAAACAGAACCTGTCCAAAGGCTGGCAAGACATCCAGACCTCAGCGCCGTAAGTTGCATGTGTAGACAGATGGTTAAAAACTCCACTACCACTTACCTGGTGTTAAAACACCCAGCCACTCCACTGGCAGAACATTTGTCACGTATTGTCTTTGTGTGACACGATTACATAACCCTCTATGGAAAGACTAACGACTTGTGACTGCCGTGATCTCGCTCTTAAGTCGGGAGTAATAATCTGCCGTCTTCTCCTGCTCTCGTTTCAGATATCTCTCAGCCTCTGCCACTTTGGAGGACATCAGCCACTCGGACATGTGAGTGTTAGTCGTCAGGTTTACATCCGACCCTATACAAGCGTTTCATGGCGCAGGGGTTTCCCAGCGTTGTCTCTTTTTCTGTCCTGTGCTCACATGTTAAAAAGGGATCTCTTCTAAGGAACAAGTGATGGGATTTTCCAGGTCAAATAGGATCGGTGCCCTGTTAATAGCCTTACAGCCTGACTTAGGACAAGGAGCAGTAGTATTACCAGGCAACGGCAGGACTGGCCTGAAGCGCTTGTTCGAAAGCCAGATGGACCGTAGCTGCTGTCGTACATGGGCCTGTTGTTAACTGTTTAATTTTTGTTGTTTGTGCTCTCCTGTTTCCTTCAACCTGTAGATATGTGAAGACACGGGACAGTCTCTCTCATGCAGGCCAGGTGACATCTTCCACGCTGTCCAATGTGGGCGTGGCCCTCACCAGGAGACTGGCAGAGATGAGGTATCCTCAGGCTCGACCCTGGCTCTTACCTCCTAATTTCTAACAAGAAAACAAAAAAACAGTTTTATTTGTTACAGAAAGTAGAAAAACAAAATGAGCAGAAGAAATTGGCTTGAGATCGTAGTTTCTATCAAACTCTGCATCTTAATAGTGCAGAAGCTCCCATTTGAGGTGTCTGGTAGGAAAAAATGTGTCTTTGGCTAATTCAGACGGACAGATGGACAGGCAGGAGACCAACAGAGAGTCTCCACAAGTAGACAACATGTCAGAACGATGCTTTAAAATGCAAACTGGAAGATCAAACTAATACATTTAACAAATATTCTAAAAGAAAATACTATAATAAAAGCACCTTTTGTCTCTCATTTCTGTCTACATGGAGCTGAACACCAGAACTAAAACATTGGTTTAATTTAAAACCAATTTCAGTGTAAGAACAGTAAAGTCACTTTAATAACTGTCAGTCATTGTGTTAATGTAGTAACATGACGAGACTCTGCAGCACAATAGAATAGGATTTTGTACATTTAACCCTATTTTCATTTGATAAACATAAACATAACTACACAGTTATTTGTAAGTATCATATTATATCTCTAACCAGTATTCATATTCTAAATTTTCTTGTCAACAAAGCCTGTGAAAACACCAAAACTGAACTGAAAACAACAACACATCACACTGAGCTGTTGGAGCATCGATAATCTGCAGTGGTGGAACAAATACTGAGACCCTTTACTTAAATGAAAGTGCCAAAACCACAGTGTAGAAATACTCAAGTAAAAACCGTCTGTTCAAAATCTGACTTGAGTAAAAGTACAGAATTAGCATTAGTATCAAATGTAAGTTAAAACAACCAAAGAGCTAAAACAACAATGTCAAAGCTTCAGGAAGAAGAAACTACTGAATTTGTCAACAAAATAAGCCTATTAATTATTTATTATTATAATAATATACAATATAGACAGAGAATTGTATAAAACTTCCCAAAAAATATCAGGAAAACTCATTTTTAATGTAAAATTTACACCAAAATGTATCCAAAATCACTAATTTTACACAAACTTACTACCATTATTGCATTCACTATTTAGGCTAATTGTACAATGTATCAGTCGTTCTGTACTGTTACTGTTATACATTAATATAATATTATGTATCCTTAAAATATGTCACTTAGTAAAAGGTTTATTTCCACAAGGAAAACAGTTTGGATGTCAAAAGTGAAGTATTTAGTACCTCAAATTTCTACCTAGTACAGTAACTTTACTTTCCACCACTGACGCTGAAGAACAACACAACAAACTACTGAAGACAGTTTTTTAAACAGGGGATGCGTGTTTTGAACTCGACGGCCTCCTCTGCTCGTGTTTTTGTTTAGCGAGTAAGCAACCGTAATCCAATCACACTAGTACAGCTGGACATCAGCAGCAGGAGCTGATAAGTCTGTTGTTCTCATCCATGTGGAAACTGTAGTGACGTTATCTGTGTGTGTGTGTCTGTCTTTATCTCCACAGAGCTCTGCCTCTCCCGAGCCCACCACGGTAAGATCTGTGAGTGTGTGTGTGTGTGTGTGTGTGTGTAGATTATAGTGAGTTTCATTTTTGTACAGCTGTGGTAGACGATTATAAAGTATGATATGAATATGGTATTGAATAAGTAGGGCTGAAATAAAAATTGACGATAAACAATATTCACAAATTTGATAACTGAAAGAAAAACCAAGAATCATTTGCTGCTTTTCTCAGTTTTATATTCTTTAAAATCAAATATGCTTTACGGACTTTGAGACTTCACACAAAACACACAATTATTTTAATGTTTTAGAACAAAAAAAATAAGAGACAGATCAATCAATAATAAAAAGAATTGCTAGTTGTAAATATAAGAAAAAATACACCTGCTTTTAATCCTTACTTGTCACTTTTAATGCTCATACTCTCTTTTTCTGTCTCTCCAATGTGACACACAGTCCCCTGAGCCACACCATGAGTGTGCCGACGATGAGGTAAAACACTAAATCCTATATTTACTGCTCACTGCTGCATGTGTGTGCGTGTGACTAAATAAAAAGTTAAATTAAGTTGGTTATAACTTACAGAAATGATTTGTCATTTATATTCTGTGTAATTTGTCTTCACGTTTCTCCGCAGACATTCCTCCACATTCAAGTCTTTTGAGGAGATGGTCGGCAGTGTGAAGGTGAGTTTTGTTAGAACAGCAGATGTGTAGTGAGCAGGGAGTGTTTGTACTGTGTGTGTGTGTGTGAGTATTGATCACCTGTTTCCTGTCCGGATCACACAGGACAAGATCACTGGCAGTCCAGCAAATAATGGAGACACCTTTGGGTTTGAGAGAAGATCACGCCCCAGCACATGAGGTGGACCCTTTCTATCACAGTTAATTATTTTTCATACCATGTAAAGTTGTTTCTGACTGTTGCATTAATACAATATGACTAATAGAATGTATTGAATTTAAACTGCAGTGTAAAAATAGTATTTTAATATGTGAATATATACACGTTATATTTCTGCATGTTGGATTCATGTAATATTTAAGAGTTATTTATTTTTACCTGTGAGTGCAGTAAACCTGTTTTACTACTCACAATATGCATTCGTTGACATTAATTGTGATATTTACAAAACAGAATATCACTAATGAAGTATTTTTGTATTTCAAAATTTTTCAATTAAAGTCAATTGAATGGTGTCTGATGTGTTTTTGTCTTTGATGGTCACATAGGTACTTTTAATTTACTAACATTAGTGTTTTAATCTCACAGCGATTTCTGAGCTTCTCTCAGTGATTGTGGCCTTGTCTTATATTTTGCCTCTGGGTGGCGCTAGAGGCTTCAAATTTATTAACAGAGTTGTTTTGCTCGGCTTTATGGAAACTAGATGCAAGTGTGTATTGTACTAAACTAAAACAACATTAGATGCAAGTTTCAGCTTTATCTTCATTATGCAATATTAAATTAAATTGAATTAATTAAATAACTAAAACAATAAAATAGAACAAAGAAGGTAGGTCAAAATAATTAAAGTTTTCTAACATTACAAAATCTTCTTTTGTACATTTAAACAATATTTTGAGGACAGTTGTCGTCCAAAACATTTATGCTACACCTGTCCTAGTTTTTGCATAAGTGTGCTGGATTGTTATTGTATCTACAGGTGACACTTTCTTAAAAAATATAATAAATATCTGTATTAAATTATGTTGTTCTCTGTAAACCCACATACATTTTATAAGCACACAGTAAATGATAGAATTGCCTTCTGGTCATTGTGTAAGTGGTGTGTTTATGCGTCAGCTGTTGTGTTCTTTCTCTAGACTTAGACTTTGAAAAGATATATTACAACATATGAGGAACATATATGTACAAACATATACATTATAAATACTTTATAAAAATAACATTTCTGTTTGTATCTGACTGTAACCACTAACAACCAAACATTTATTGTTATCATTATACATGTGAGGGCCATGTCGAAACACAGGTCGGGAGAAAGATCTATGGGAAAAAGCGAGTTATAATACTGTCAGCGGCTCAAAGGGAGTAAAAGAGTCGTTCCCTGACCGGGAATCGAACCCGGGCCGCGGCGGTGAGAGCGCCGAATCCTAACCACTAGACCACCAGGGAAGGTTGCTTCACAGAAAGTGTTCTAAATTCTTCAAACTGTAGCGACTTAAATTAATGTTCCTGATTTCTAAATGTCACTTAACATTTAAACATCTCTTCCAGTTTGTTTGTGACTCCTAAACCCCCCCAGCAGGTAACATTAGATAGTTAACACCGAGCGGTTTAAGTAAAGCCTCCTCTTGTCTCGCGTCACTCGTTGTCCTGACCGAAGTGAACAACAGCACGTTCCGAGTCCTCGAGCCGCCTCAGTCCCCGCCCCGTGCCACGGCAGCACGAGCCGGTGAGGAGTGGAGAGGGGGGGGGGGGCAGACCCTATAAAAGAGCCAGTCATCAGTCTCCGGATACAGCAGCAGCGAGTTGACCAAGAGGCGGTCAATAGAAACAGTTCATCCACAAATGGGCCATTGTAACAACTAGCACCTCTTCCACTTCCAGCCATCCGCACCTTAACAACCGCATCCTAATCCTCACAGGTAGGTCTAATTTATTAAAGTGTTACAGCATTAAAAGTGCTTCTCTTGTAGGTTTTGTTTGTTTATTTAACTTTAAAGGTAATAGTTTGATAAAAACATGTGTGTGCTACACTTTAGGCATTAAAAAAGTGAAATAATTAAAGTTTTATAGCATTAAAAGTTCTCTTCTTGTATGTTTTAAACTTAATAGTTTGATAAAAACATGTGTGTGCTACACTTTAGGCATTATAATAGAATAAAAGCAAGAAGAACTACAGCAGGAAATAAGATTATGATGCTTTTTGTGGTTGTTAATCTTCAGTTTAGTGAAATAATTTAACTTTTTTAAGTTATTAAAGCCACACTTGTCTTAGTTTTTGCACAAGTGTGCTGGAATGTGTTGTTGTGTAGTGGAGATACCTGCCTAGTTGTATCTACAGGTGTCATTTCCCCTAAAAATAAGCATTTCATAAGCACACAAACTAGTAAACAGTGGTTAAAACTGCATTCTGCTATAAGTGTTTATGCGTCAGCTGCTGTTGTTTATCTGTCTGCTGCTTGAAATCCCTAAATCCACCTGCTGCTCACCTGTTAAGCTTTACAGCCTTCAACCGGTTCTCAGGCTGCTGCAGGCCCACAAACTTATAATCTACATTAAGAGTCTGAAATACACACGAAAAACACACATTAAAATAATAAATCCATACATGTTTTATTCTTGCAGATGTGACCTATACAAATATCTCCTGTTTGGCAAGAACATAATCTTTTTTTTTTTGCCAGGTCACTTCTGTGATCACGCAGTCAGCTCGTGCACTATAAGCTATCTGAGTTGAGTTGGACATGTGGACATCCTCTCTCTCTCTCTCTCTGACACACACACACACACACATTCTGGTTATTTGAGTTACAGGAAACCAGATTCTTAGAAGCAGCTGTTCGTACTTTATCACAGGGCCTGTTGACAGGAACGTAGCTCAGAGGGAATGAATGCACGCAGCAAAAGCTTCCCTGCAACTGCTTTTGAGTGACAGTTACATGCTGTCTGAGGAGTATCTGTCTACACACAGATGATTTTGTGATTTTGAGTGCGGTCCATTAACCCCTCTGCCTCCCGTCTCTCCTCCAGGTTACAGTTTTCCATCTTTCTAAGCGGTTTTTCCACCTAAGGTCGGGAGAAAATGGCAGCAATTCCATCAAGTGGCTCCCTCATCGCCACCCACGACTACTACAGAAGTGAGTCCGACTATATGCATTTTTATTTTCTGACGCCAGAAGTTAATTCTTTTGTGTTTGATTAGATATTCTTGAGGTTTTTTTGTATATTTATGTCTTTATATCTTTATTCCAGGGCGCCTCGGGTCAGCCTCCAGCAACAGCTCTTGTGGCAGTGCAGAGTACACAGGGGAGGTCATTCCACACCATCCAGGTATTTAAAAAAAAAAGTTGTATTTAAGGTCCAGCGTGTACGATTTAGTGGCATCTAGCGGTGTAGTTGCAGATTGAAACTACGGTGGCTGCTCCTATGTAGAGCGAGTCTTTTGTCCATTCTGGGCTACTGTAGAAACATGGTGGTTCAACATGGCTCAATACATTTTAAGGTAACAAAAACACAATGATTCCTATATTTAGGGGATTACACACTAATGAGAACACACCTATGAACATTATATTAAATTTCTGCTACTAGAATCTCCTAAATGTTTCACACTGGACCTTTGAGAGTGAGAAAGTAAAGTCTCTCTCCCTGCATCCAACCAAGTTTCCCGTCTAACATTCACTTTGTTCTTCGCAGGACTTCCAAGGCAAGATTCTGGCCACTGGTGGACTTCATTTTTCTTTGCAAAACCGAACCAGCCCGGCATGCAGAACGGATCTGAAAATCAAAAGTGAGTGTTAAGTGAACATAATGACACTAAAGTGACTCTAAACTAACATTCCTTGTTTATACATTGGATCCCTCCCACTTTCTTTCTTCATCTACTGTCTGTATCCGTGTCTGTTATACTAAGAAATAATTAAATACTTAAGTTTTTCCATACATAATGTGGGGGCAGTGTTTATGTCTTAACTGTCTAAACTTAAATAAAGTTATAATAAAAAAACTTTCCTTTGTGTTGCAGGAACGGAACGTACACAGTGACCAACGGTCAGGTGACCTGCATCGCCAGGGAAATGGTTTTGAAAAGACAAATCAGCGAAAGCAGTGAAAACGGAAAGTTTGAAGCAACCAGCCCTCCACCGACTTCCTCCTAGACTCCATTCCCTGCCAGCGCCTCACCCCCCCCCCCCCCCCCACAGCCTCACAGTCACCCTCAGCTTGCCGTCTCATTGCAGAGAGATGGAGATGATGGCGGTGATGATGATGGCGTTTTCCCTTAAGCCACTGGAGCTTGCTTTTCATACTTTGCCTCTGTATAGTATCTTTTTATTATGACCAAAAGCTTAAAAACTAAAAAAAGTATGTAAAAAGTTTTTTCATTTTGTCCTTTTTTTGTGACTTGACACTGTTAATAATAAATAAAATGCTTGTAGTCATTACTCATATTGTGTTTTATTGATCCCACACAGCCAAAAGAAACATGGTCTCATAAAACATTATCTGTTATGTGCTTTTAAAAACAATACCTAAAATCTCCAGTACTAATCATCACCATTCATTCAGCAGTTGTTTTCTAACTCTGTGAGCGAACACATGCAGCCTACTTTCCAAACAGACCTAATCTGTTTAGCTTTGATATGATTAGCAACGATTAATTCAGTTGTCTGTGCAGCTTACATCATGCCTCGCCTCACCTGAGCCCAAAATGTGGGTCAACAGCTCCTGGAAAAGTAAAGGTCAGGACAATTAAACACATACGTTGTGCTCATATTTTTGGGGATTCTACGAATGTATAAACTAATTAGGAAACAACGGACAAAGCTAGCTGAGGCTAACATGTATATGCAAAACATTTCAAAGCAGGTCACTGGTCAGTTACCAGCTCGCAGACCTGCTGCAGAGTTTGTCGCACGTCCTTATAGGTGACGTCTTATAACGACTGCATAAAAATAAAGTAGTCCACCTGCTGCTATTAAATCTTACACTTTAGTCCCTCTGGTGTCCTTCAGTTTGGGGATACTACTAGTTTGGAAGAAAGAGGGTAGTGATTTAAAAAGTCTTTAATATCTTATGGCATTTCAGCCATTCAGGCCTTCATCAGGGCAAATACAAACTGGTTGCCTTTGAGCGGTTTCTTATACCTGTTGTGGCAAATAGTCACATGATCAGTGTAGACAGTCACATGTGTTCAGCAGAGGAAACCACACATCAGAAATCCCACTAAATGTCAGGATAAAACAGAAATAGACAAATAGAGAACTATATACACAACATTTCACCTTTCTCTACATCCAGGTAAGAAGACTCAGAAAACATGATGGGACTGTGACAGAAAATGAAAGAAGTAATGTACCTTCTTACGTGGATGTACTGAAAAGTGAAATATTAAGAGGTTTTAAGATGTTTTGTATGTTGTTCTCTATGTTCTCTATTTCTGTTTCATCCTGACATTTAGTGGGATTTCTGATGTGTGGTTTCCTCTAATGAACACATGTGACTTCTTACCTGTCTACACTGATCATGTGACTATTTGCCAACAGGTATAAGAAACAGCCCAAAGGCAACCATTTTGTATTTGCCTGAAACATGTAGCCAAATATGTTTCTATAACTGTTACTATGAGAGCACCACAGGAACCCGAGCAGCTCTCCCTGCAGTTTGCTGTAGCTCATTGTTGTAAAAGATTCAGTCTGTTCATGTTACAAATGCCGTGAGGAGAAAGCGTTTATTACTTTCCTGTAATCTTTGTGTGCGTGTGGTTATTCAAATGCTCCAGATTTTCCAAAGCCAGAGTCATAGATCTACATTTTTACTCAGTTTTAATTACTGTTAACTGATCAATAAATGCACTGGTGGTTCTCTGAATGGACTTTTCTGTGAAATCAATAGGGAACATTTTGCAATGTGCGTGCTGACTACTAAGAATAGACTGAACTCAGCCTGGTTACAGTCCAGTTCTGTTAATCTTTCTGTTCAAACAGGAAAGCCAAACAGCTCCAGTACTGTATGTGGAGCATTTGGAGCAACCTACTGGGACAAATATTAAAGGACCAAAGACATGATTCACGTTTTTTAAAATGTCAAGTAACTCATTTTAAAACTGTCCTACTCGCCCTACAAAGCTGAATCTATTCCTGGCTGCGTATCATAGAACGGTCTAAAAATGTCCTCCAATCCCGGGTCACGTACAAACACTGACTCCAGTGTCAGTGAAGTGATGCAGGAGTTTCCCTGTCACACACGTCCTTTTTTCATTATTCCACAGGGCGCTCCGGGTCACCCTGTACAAATTTTACAGGACACAGCAAAGGGCAAATACCCAGAATATTTATGTGAAAACAACACAGTTGCAACGATCAACAAAGCACTAGACAGAGGGAAATAAACAAACAAACAGATGCGTGGAGATTGAGTGTGTAAGGCTGCAGAAAGGAGCAGAATGTATACGGTTGCAAAAACTTGACATGTTTGTTTTATTTGTGATCTTAAAGTTGAAGATTTGCTTCAAATCAAAGTCAAAAATAGGGAATTTAGTGGAGGTGACCTGGCATTTAAAGGCTGACATCCAATGGAAAGAGATTTTATGAGCCACTACAGGGAAGGATTTTCAAAAATAACCGCTCTCACTTTAACTTTACTTGATTTTATTGCTGAATTTGGTTGATCGGAATTGGTTTGTCTCTGTAAATACTTTTATAAGGAGTTCAGCTACATATGAAAAGTATCCTGAGATAACTTCTGTAATGATCTGATGATATACAAATAAAATTGAACTGATCATAGGTCGCTTTTAGAGAAACTGAAATGTTATAGTTGAAATGTTATGACTAAGGCTCTTGGATGGATCATTAAAGTATAGAATATACTAGTTGTGGTGTACCTCAAGGGAGCTGTCTAGGACCATTATCAAGTGCTTTTTTTTTTTTTCTTTTTTTTTTACAAATCATTTACTGTTAATCTTCTACAGCATGCAATATTGTATGTTTGCTGAGGATTCAATGATATTATCTATAATATCATCTGTCTTTCTCACTTCAGTAATAATATTACAGTTACCTCCCCTAATTTTTAATTTTGTTTATTTATTATTTTGTCTTTCAGATTGTCTGGTTTTGTATGTTCTGAGTTGGTGTTTTTGGGGTGTTTTATTGGGATTTTATGTTGTCTTTTGTGTGATTGGTGTAATCTGTTTTGATGAAGTTAATGGGGATGATAATAACACTGAAATGATTAGCCGATTAATCAGTTAGTTGATTGATTAGTGACTATTTCAGTTCCTGGCTCCAGCTTCTGAAACGTGATGATTTGATCCTCTTATTTGTCAAACATGATAGTAACCAAATATATTTGAGGTTTTTACTGTTGTTCAGATTTAAACAAGACATTTGAAGACACTACCTTCAGCTCTGAAATAAATGCAATAATAAAGTTTGATGCAAGATCGGTCTTCATAATATGGAGCTGAATATAAATTCACCTGGAATCATATTTCTCTGTGTTGCTCAATGAAAGTATTCTTGGGTAGGAGTCTTTTTTTAAACCATATCCGCTGTCATTGCTTATATTGAGTGGAAAATGTTGGCACGACCACACAGAGCGCTCCTGCACACCAATTGGCTCAAGGATATATAGGGAATCTGGGGCAAAGGCATCTGGCCCATGAGTCAGTGCTGGCAAAGAGTCCAACCTCCACAAAACGTACAAGTTCAAACTGCACCGATAAGAGAGGAAAGACACATCTGATTCTCAGTATTAGCTGCAAAGTGCATTGTTGTATAATTGTGTATGTTTGTCTTTACAGGTAACGGGTTCACGACTGTCTGCAGGGACTCAGATTTCATCCAGTTTTAGATCTATATTTGATCAGCAGCATGAGCAGAGAACGTGCACCGCTGAACTTGAGTCCACGTGTCTCTGTTTCAATGTCAACATGAGAACCTGCACGCTGTTGAAATCCCGCCACTATGAATCATCTCTGCAGCAGCTGTTTATTTGTTTTTCTTGTATGGATCAAGTTTTTATGATTAACCTGAAGGGAAAAAAAGAAAATATTTAAATAATAAAAGTGTAGTTCCTGTTTAAATACTGCTGTAAGTTCACTTTATTCCTCTGTAACTGGTTTCTTTTATAAACTGGAAAACCCAAAGTGAAGATGAAATTTGAAGTAATGAATTTGCTCGTTGAACAGCAGAGATGTGAGTCTAATAATAAAAAATATAATCTATCTATTCTATCTATTAATATTATATATTATTGTCTTGTGTTTTGAACAAATGCAGATTAACATGAAAACTTGAAATATTGAAGATACAAAGCTTTTTTAATCGTTAATATCACAGGTTTAATTATGCTATTTGTTTTCAGTGCAGGACTTTTACTTATAACTGACTATTATTATTATTATTATTATTATTATTATTATTATTATTATTATTATTATATTTACAGTTATTACCACTTTTACCCAACTAAAGGACCTAAATACTTTCTCTGTGACTAGAAATTATTGCAGCCTAATCTGTATTTTCAAATTACATTAAAGAATATTCTACTATTTCACGCAGTCACTGTATCTGTGTCTGCAGTTAAAAGCCGTAGATACATGTTTTTAAAATAATGAGGTCATTGTTGTTGTGTTTTCACTGAGTGGAAATATTGACTTTGGTCGGATGGAACGCAGCGTCCATTTGAGACTTTCTAAGCCAGCTGTAAATGTTCCCAGACCTATATGAGCTACGCCAAAATATCTGACAACGTCACGACTCCACTTCCAGTCTGGGATCATAAATCATGGGAAATCAGGTCACACTAGATGAGACTGGAGGACCAGACTAGAAATATAAGAGGTCATTCCCTAGAACCACAGGTCAGAGTATCGGGGTAACAATAGAAACACTGACCATGGGATGTACTGAAGAAGTTGAAAGGTTTCTAGGTGTGGGGTCAGTCAGCTGGTCCAGACTAAAATGACCTCAACAACTAATAGCTGGATTTGAATGAAAGTATGTACGCTCATAGTTTCCAGACTATAAATCCTTCTGACTTTGATGACCACCTGACTCTGTCTCTAGCTCTATAAGGTTGACAGTTATGGCAAGTAACACTATACTTGCATCAGATCGCTGTTTTCAGTCCTAATTGAGTTTGTCTCTATCAAATAAACTATAAATAAATAACTATTGGATCCATGTCCACCTCAGGATTAATTATAATAACTTTATTGATTCTTTCTTTTCTTCTTGCGCCTCCATGAAGTCAAAATGATTTGATTTATGACTAAAAACCTGCAAAAGGCATTACTTTCCCACCAGTTCTTTGTGTTGTTTAGTGCTAGTTAGCAAATAAGACACTAAACTAAGATGGTAAACATGATAAACTGCTGAACATTAGCTGTGTAAATGGTGCAAAAAGACAAACTATAGAAAGAATTAATCTGAACTATAGACTTTGTAAAACTTTAAAAAGAGAAGTGTGTTCTGATCACATAGCCTACATGTAGTAATGTTTACTTAGTTTATGACTTAGAATGGGGAAGGAGACAATACCTGTAAGGCTCAGTAGCTTAAAGAAAGTATTATTTTCTTATGTGACATTATTTTATGAATTTAGTTTTAATAAATAAAAGATAAATTGGTTAAAAAAACAATGAGCGATCCTTTGTTGTTCAGGGCTAATGAGCAAACGTCTAATATTGTTTCCACATTTTAACGAATGCTTCCAGAAAATATCTCATAGGCCAAAGGCTGTCTTCAGTCAGTAGACTTCATTAGAAGTGTGTTTTTCTCTTTGCAAAGCTCTGCACTCAGAGGCAGAAGAATGAGCTTTCTAATTATCATCCTTTATTCTTCAAGGACAGCAATGAAATTCTCTAACAGCAGCGGTTCCCAACCGTTTTCCTTAAGGGATCCCTTTTCTATAATTGAGTAAACCGACGACCCCTGACTAAGTGACACACTTTATGAATATTTCATATTATATTCAACTATTATAGAACCACTGATTAACTGTACAATTGTGCAATAACTGCAGGAAGTTTGTGTAAAACTGGTGATTTCGATTAATTTTGAGCAAATTATTCTCAAAATATTGTATCAGAGATGAGTTTTCCTGATATTTTATGAACTTTTCATGCAATTTTCTGTCTGTATTATGCATTTGTTTTTTACTGCGTACTTTTCTATTGCAGGATGGGGCTGCTTATTAGAAAGTGAATGTATTTTGTGTTCAGGGTCTTCAAAAGTTTGCGTCTTAAAAAACGAAACTTTAAAGAAACCTTGACCTTTAGGCCTACTGTGTATATTTCTGAAGTTTTCTTACACCACTTAAAATCAAGGAGGCCTGAAGCATTGACAACCCCCAGGTCGAGAACCTTTCTTTGTCTTACAGGTTGTCTGTGTACAGTCTGTGACCTCTGCACCATCCTGACATTGTCTATCTGTTCTTACAGCCTTCCTCCCACTGCTTTCTGTAACTCTGCTGCCCTCTTGTGGAAAGCTCACTCCTTTAAAAACAATGAGTGTGTGTGTTGAACCACCTGTAATGTTTTCTTCCTGATGTGAGACTCAAGACGATTACAGAAATAAAAGAAGGAAAGCACAAGGGAGGTCTCAGTTAGATAGCTCATCGCACTATTTTATTCAATTACTGACATCTCAGGAGAAGAGGAGAGCCTTGCAACTCTGCTGTTGGTAAACCACTGTTGTTGTTTTTTAGTTTTTTTTTGTTGTTTTTTTTTTCATAGCGTTGATGCAACACTGAAAAAGCGCTATTTCCAAACAAACACAGGTCCCTCATTAGTGATATGTAAGAGGCAGAGAAAATCTCACCTGGACAGTTTTGCATGAAACATACAAATGAAACAGGTTCAACCTTTTCTTTTGTCTTTTTGTAGTTTCACATATAATAATAAATATCCATACCTATAAACACTCCAAAAAAATCAAAATATTAAGTCACAGGTACTGGAAAAAGCTCCACTTTTAAATCACAATGATAAATGTACAAAACAATAGACATCTCATATAAATGTTAATGGTTTTTCGTTAGAGAATTAAATCTCATTTCAGAAGAAATCAGTGGATAAAAACTAAACTTGGAGATTCAGTATTTCCTGAGGTTTATGGGTTCCCCTTAAAAGGCCAGGAGAGGGGAATGGCTTTTATGTTACCGAGGAGATATTACAACAGGTCAAAGTGTACCTTTCAGGGTACCAGTCGGGTTAAGGACAAGGAGTTTTCCCTGACAACAAAGTCGGGATATTAAAAGATTCTGAGCACTTAATGTAGTATAATAAATGTACCTACACCCCACCTATCTCCATTTAGGCCACAATAGTATTCTAAAACAGCTGATTAAAGTCATCTTGATCCTTAATAAATCTTTGCTGGTCCACTTTGAGAAGTTGTGAAGCTCCCTTTTTTACTTAAGATTACCTTTTTTTTTTTTTTAAATGCTGGAAGCCACCACAACACCGAGCCGACCACAACCAGCTGTCACGGCACACTCTGACCACGTGACCGAGTCGTCAAAGAGGTCACGTCTGCACTTGATGCAATGAAACGACAAAAGGAAAATATCTGGGCAAATGTACACAGATTAGGGGTATAGGTGAGGAGAAAAAAAAACAGCCTGAATAAAACAAAAACAAAAATTATTCTGAAAAACTGTACATGTAAACATCACACTTTCACTGAGTCCAAAAACCAGAGGGGAAAAATACAAAGCTTCACACAGGTTTACAGTACAACCCCCTGCACAGAGCTACAGTCTCTTATCAGTGCAGGAGAGGCAACAATTGAAATAATATAAATAACAATAGAAGTAATACAGACCACCACCAAATGATAAGTTAAAACAGGCAAGGGCTAAAACCACTTTGATTTTTTTTTTTTACAGTGCTGTACCCACAGAAAAAAAAAAAGAAAGCAAAAAACATCTTTTATCACTCTTTGTACAGCTATACAGTACATTTATCTGACCACTTTAGCAATCCACAAGCTACCAGGGCATTTTTAATCAACACCAATAGATTACATTGTCCAGTCAATACAAAGAGAAAAAATACATTGGGCATTATTAGAAAAAAAAACAACAACATATGACGACACGCGGTCGTCGTTGATCACAGTAACTCCAGCACACAGCTAAAAATGTTGCTCAGCGTGAGACAGTTTACAAATCTGCAAGCTAAATGTCTGTGGAAAAATGAGACAAGATCAACATGGCATCACTGAGTTAGACATGAAGTGTAGAGGATCTGCTATGGCTACAGTAACAAACGAGGAGGTTGGAGGAGACGAGGAAGACATGTGAGGACTCGGGGGTCCCACGTATATCTATGATTACGTCTGTTAGAGCCCAGAGGGGTGTTTCATAAAGCACGATTATTTTAGAAAGTCAGGCAATTCTGCTTCATAAAGGAGGTTTAAATAAGTCTGATCTAAGTTACCATGGAAACCCATCCCTACAGACTACCGTGGTCCAGGCTCAGCTTCACTTTAAACAGTGTCAGACCGAAACATTGCGTTCTCTCGTAGGTTCCTCCCCTGAAGGATCCTCTTTACGGCTGCACCGTGAACACGAGTCTGCTCGCACAAAAATGTAGGTCACGTAACTGACATGGGATGAGTTTAATTGCATAATTTAAATCTGTGCTCATATCTGTCAACATACGTGCTTCTGCAATCAAATTAAAGCCGAACTTCACCATTTCTCCTCTCTTTAAAAGTCACTAAATTAAATTAAATCCATTCATTACATCTGCAGCAAGTGGCAGACAACCTGTCAGAAGATATTTAAAAAAAGATAAAAAAGTATTTTCTCAATATGGAGACTGCTGAGTCACTTGTACAAACCAAGTAACACAATCCAGCTGATAATTTAACACATTTTTTGGCCACTTGATGGCACCGGAAACAAGTTGCAACACTGACATTAGCATCACTTTTAAGATGATATGGCAAACTTGTTATCAAACAGTCGCTTATTTATACATCCAGCTGTTACGGAGCAACATTATTATCATCTATTTGGAGTCAGCTGATGAATTTAAGGTCAGTATTCACTCTTATTTTAGCTCGTTTTTTGGTCTCTACCAACTCCTGAGGGAAATATCTTGCTCCTCAGCTGCTGAATGCATCCCCAGCTAGTTGCTAACTGTGTCTTTGTCTGCAGTTTGGTGCTGAGCAGGTAGTATACAGTGTGTTTTTAGAGTTTTTTTTACTGCTGGCTGCAGCTGTGAGAGTAAACCGAAACAGTAAAGTCGTGGCCAGACAGCTAAACAATCAGCTGAAACTGTCTATAAAGCTCTGTAAAGCCGCGGGGAGCTGCAGATTCAGCCGATGATTCTCTGTAGTTTCAACATTAGGAGCCCTCTCACATTACACATTGTCATTTGACACTATTTTATTATGAAAATATATTGATTATAACTGTTTTAAGGTTCTAAAAATGCAAATTATGTAATGGTTTTCTATTAAAAAAAAGTCCTATTTGATACATGTTTAATTGTTCTTGTAATTCATGCAGGATTTAAACCCACAATGTCAGAGCACAGCAACAGGCACAGCTAACAGAGGAATGAGTCTGAGCTTTTGTCCAGCACACAGCCAGAGGCTCTATTTTATGTTGTTTATTCCAGTGATGTAAGTTTTCTGCAGTGATATTTTTATGTTTTAATATGTGTTGCTTTGTGGCTGCAGAACTGTGCTCTTTTGTCCCAACATGTCAGTTTGTGTGTTTCAATGTCATGAAATAAATAAACCAGACTCGACTACCACCGCTCACATTTTCTCTAAACCAACTTTATGAAACAGATTCATCCTTGTTCAGTTCTTTTCACGAGACACCACGCTTTTTTTTTTTTTTTTAAAGGCGCCTCCTTTATGAAACACCCCTGAGATGGACCATTCAAACTGATGAGTTCAAACTGAGCTCCAATAAGATTTTCAAACAGGAGACAAAGGAGCTGTTTGCTTTTTTAATTTTTTCTATATATATAGTCATTAATAAAGCAGACTGAGAGCTGCTTCTGCATCAAACTGTCCTTTGTTATAATCAGTTCTCACTATGTTTGAACTGAAGCTGATATTACAAATGAGGTAAAGACACACTCAAATCACTGTGTTATGTTACCTTAATCCTGAGCTATAAAGTGCTTCCAAACTTGCAATAGATAATTTAAATGTAAAATGTAACGCAGCCCAATCATGACATGGCAATAAAATGTATATCCAACTCTGAACCGGTCTGGCGGTGGTGAGAAGTTTATGTGAATGACGGACTGATTCATGATAAATAACTGATAAATTTTGATAGATTTGTGATAAATACAGAAATATATCTCTCTTGAACTTTGACAGATCAATAAGGTGCGAGCCACTTTCGGGGCTGCTTGAAGAGTCATTGTCCTAGTTTGGAATGTTTCAGCCGACTGAATTAAATCTTCACAGATTGATGTTTGTACAAACTGGGTCACTCCACTTACACACAAACAGAAAATCAACATACTGTCAATACCAACACTTAGAAAATAAAAATACAAAAAATAAATAAAAAATACTCCACATACACACACTTACACAACAGTTCTTTGTGCTGAGTGACTCACCATTAAAAGTGTCTGTTGTGAGACTGTGCTCTAGATCTGCTTTGAGTACTCGTGTGCCCTCAGACCACACATACACACACACACACACACACACACACACACACACACACACACACACACACACACACACACACACACACCATAGCAGAAAGCTGGGAGAGTAAACTGTGATGCGATTACATCTTTTTTTTTTTTAAAGATTGTCTCTTGCTTCTTTTCAAACAGTGTGTTTTTCAGATATGATATCAATGAGTGGAGATGAGGGAGAGAGGTCAGAGGGGATGATACAGACTGAGCAGCCCACACACACACACACACACACACACACTCGCACTGCATCCAGTAAAGCCATATGGATGTTAGGTTGACACCGCTGCATTCATGTGACTGTCAGGAATGGATGCATGTGAGCTCAATGTGCCAGTTTTAACTTAAAAAAAATTTACTCACAGAACAATTCCTTCACAAAATGACCCCAAAATCACTTTAAAGTAAAAAATAAAAAAAGACGTGCAACATTAAGTCTCATTTTTCTGCCAGGTCTTATTTCCTTTGACTGATCCCAATACATGAAAGTGCCTCAGTTATGAGGTTAGCAATAAAGATCAGTATTAACAACAAACAACAACATTGAAATTGGCTACAATGCTGCATGGGATATCATTTCTTTTTTCTTTTTTTCTTCTTTTTTTTTTTACAACTTGACAGTTACAGCAGGAGGAGATTGTGGTAAAGTACTCCCTGTTTTGCCTTAAAACACTTCAGCAAGTCTGATAAAGTCCTTTCAGTAAGCACACCATTACTGATTATCTTCAATATTGCACCTTTTTCCACTGGTTATAAAAACCAAGAGTCTAAACAATATATTAATCTCCTTTTTTCCCTGACAGGTGTCTGTGACCTCAATTTGCATACCCATGCTTCTTAAAAGCCTCCTTCCTTTTTTAAGTAATGAGAAATTGCCTGTGATAGAAATATTCATAATAAAATAATTGAAAATGAAGTCACGTTGGGTAATGAGTCTTTGTCTCTTAGTCACGACATGCCCTAACAATCTGGAAACCACTCCAACAGAGCAGGACCGAGGTATAGTTTTGACCACACGACTTGACTGATCTGGCCAAAATTTACAGGAGAAAACTGATAAACACTGTCCTGTTTTTCTTTTCCTTTTCTCTACTTTTTTTTAATGTGCATGTGTAAGTCAGCACGTCCTCCAGTAGCTGTTGAGGTTAACAGGTCAGTTGATTTAGCAGCGATTCATCTATGGACTTTCAGAACGCAATGCAGAAGTGAATTCGGAGAGAGTTATCATTTAGAAATGACTCAGACGACCTAATCAAATCATGCCACTGTACAGCATATTTTACATTTGTGTAAAGATAGAAACAAGGTAATGACACTAAATCACTGCTATTTAACCATTAATATGTCCAAACATCTGCACAAATGAGCCAGTGTGGCATTATGGTCACAGCTAATTTAAGGTTAACACCTCTGGTACGCCACTGTGCACCAATGCAGGTCTTTTTTTTTTCACATAGATCATCGCTTCCTGAGACGAATGGAGGTTGAAGTGGTAAAATGAACTGAATGGGATGAATGGCTACAGATAACAGGGCACTAAGGTCAAAGTGAACCAAATGCATAAATAAACATTTTTCAGCCTGTGATATGTTCTGGCCCGTCCAAATACATAAACATGTGGGAATAAGAAAAGGTACCATACCTACAGGACCCACTGTGCGCTGCAGTATCACTCGTGTACATTTTGTGTCTTTGTATGCAAGTCTGCCCAAATATGTGTGACCGAGGGCGACAGACGTGGACAGGCTAGGAGAGGGTCTCGCCACGGTTTTGGCTCGGACTCAGTTCTGCTGCAGGATCAGGTTTTCCAGCTCGTCTGCTGAGCGGAGCAGGAAGGCGGCAGACTCTCGGTATCCTGCGATGAGCTGCCTCACCGCTGTGACCTCCGGAGGGCTGAGCTGAGCCGAGGCTCCGCCACCGCCGCCTCCCTGACCGTGGCTGTTGGAGCTGGAGGTGGAGGAGTTTGGGCCGACTGCCTTCATACTCAAATCTGTGGGACCTGGGGGTTTAAGACACAGATACAAAGACACATCAGAGAACATGTTATGCTAAGAAATCAAACTATAAGAAATAAATATCCAGGAACTAGTGGGGGAAAAAAACTTGCTCATCTCATATTTCAGAGATGCATCAGAGAAGAGCTCAAAACCTTGAAGAAAAGATGTTGATTTATCAAAAAATGTTGATTAGAAATTGTATTGAAAGCTCAGTTCACCAAAATACAAAAAAAAACAACCTAAAAACATATTTACTGTCACCTCTAGTTGTAACTAAGACAAAACAATGCCTTGAGCTACACGCTGACTTTAGCATGCTAACATGGTAACTAGCTGAGGCTGATGGGAATGTGATTCGCAGGTATCCAGTCAAAGCATCAGATAAAGTGAAATTTTGCCCTGATTAAAGCACTAAAGGCAAAGTTACAGGATCACTAAAGTCAGTCGGATACAACATCTTGGAACCTTGAATGTCTGTATAACATTTAGTACTAATACATCCTGTAGATGTTGAGATATTTGACATTGACATTTTTGAGATGAAAAGTCCGTGGATCACAAAAGCCGTTAGGAACATGCAACATGAATGTACAAAATCTGTATTGTGGTTCATGTCTGTATGTCTACTGATGTACTGTGGTGTTTTTTATTGTATTTTATAATACTTAAAGCTGTATGTAATAAACTCTCTGTGTAGTTTCATGCTTTGTATTGGAACTATATTAAACTGCATCGTCCCTATCAATTAAAATAAATTAAAATATGCTGAGATATGTCAGACTGGACCCGACCGGCCAACATAATAAAACTGTCATTCCTACAGTCGATAAAATTATTCGGCAATTCTCTTTCTAAAAACAATGTCCCTGTTATTTCAGACAATCCGCCAACACCACTTTAAATGGAAATACTTTCTGCTGAATAAAAAGTCACCCGTGTGTTCTTTGGGTGATCCAGAGGAACAGGGACATTAGTTCTTCAAAGACATGTAGCTATTACATTTTTTTTATGCTTTTTTTTTTTATCAGCGCTTTGAGTACCACAAATAAAAACTGATTCATATCAAGGATGAAACTCAACCAACCCTTTAATTAGAAGAGCAGTGCTTTGAATATATCCTTTCTTTTCTAAATACACAGCATTAAAAAGACACATTATTTGGTCGACGGAGGCTCCTCACCGTTGGTTTGCGCAGCACCAGAGTTCTGCTGGTTGCTGCCGACTGTCCCATATCCCCGCAGGTTGTAGTTGAGGCCTCCATTGGTGTAGAGCTGGTCTTGGGCAAAAGCTGCGCTGGAGATGGAGAACCCTGATGGGGCCACAGAGGCCGGGTCCCTCGAGTTGGGCTTGTCAACGGAGGCGGGCTCATCCTATGAGAAATTAAATGTTTTCAATTTGGGCACAATATTGTATTTTGTGTTGTGCAGTTTGGTGGTAATGATGCGTGACTGTCCTCGCACATTCCCTAATCCCTGCTGGGCAAATTCACAAACACCAACTGCCAAGACATTTACCGTGTACACATCGAGTCGCATCCTCTTGGCAGCATTTCGGGTTTCACTGTCACAGGCAGCAGCGAGGATGTTCTCAGCCATGGCAGAGGTGAGGTGAGGAGGTGTTGGTCGTATCTGGCAACAAGGGTCAGCGAGATTTTTGCTCATTATGTTTTATTTCTTTTGAGACTTAACGATTGTTTGTTGGATTTATACAGACAACATTTTAGCTGAGGACACTTTATACCTCAAAACCGCCTTTTTTCATGCGGCGACAGGATTTGAGGTAGGTGCGGATGCGCTTGCGGGAGCGCTCCTGGAACTCTGGGAACTGGCGGCTACAGGACTCGATAATGGCCTGGATCTTCTCCTTGGGCTGTTTGGAGATGGGCACCATGCGGTCCAGATTCTCATCCACGAACAGACGCACAAACATCTGACAGAGACGGAGAGAGGGGGGAGGGGAGAGAGGGGATGTAGAGCAGAAAAAATGGAGTGGGGGTGCAGGGTGGGGAGAGAGAGGGGTGTGAGAGTCGAAAACAAAAGAGAGGAAAGGGAAGGCAGGGGATGGGGGAGCGTTAGAGGTAGAGCGGAAGAGGAGAGGATAAAGAGGGAGGGGGAGGTGATGAAAATGGGAGCGATGGAAATTGAATCATTGCTCATATTCAGGACAATAACTCGTGATTGCTTTTTTGCAACTCTACTGTTCTATATGTTTCCTTTAGATTCAGAAATGCACAGATTGTAGTTCTCACAGAAATAAGGCTGGCTGATATCCATCACACTGGAGAGCCACAGATAACAACAGCACTGTATTGTATCTATGTGGATTTAATGAAACTGCAACAGTTAGACAGGTTACTTACATTGAAGGCTTTGAGTCTCTCAGGGTCCATACCCTCGGCGTCATTGATCTTGTCACTGTCATCGTGGTCATCGTGATCATCGTCGTCGTCGTCAATTATCTGTGCCCGACCAGAGGTCAGATCCTCTGCACTCATGCTCAGTTCAGTTTTTACAGAGTCATAGCTTCCTGAGCTGTAAGGAGGGGACTGGAAACACACAGAAATACATGTTTTACAGATTTTACAGACACAAGAGCTGTTTGTCTTTACTGTTCATTGAGAGAGAAAAAGTTTCTTACCTTGTTGGCGTACTCGGTTTTGATGGGGTACTTTCTGTTGGGGTCTGCGGGGTAAGAGTTTGGTGGCGAGCTCCCTGCAGGCAGCAGTCTGTCGCTCAGATTGACCGGCTGCTGATCCTCTGAAGAGGATGAGGGTGAGGTGGTGCTGAAGTCCAGTGGAGCGCTCAACCCGTTCTCTGCCATCTCCCCGTAAGGGGCCCCACCATCTGGGGGGTTCCCGCCCACAGCCAGCACCTCCGGGGAGGTCAGGGCCGGCAGCCCGCTCTCTGAGGAGTCGTCATCTGGAAGAAGGGGAGGAAGAAGAGGACAGGGGCAAAGACGCAGATACAGAGATGAGATGTGCAGATGTTTTTCATCATTTAGCACAAATGTGGGTTTGTTTACTACAATGGGAAATATTTCTGTCGAACAACAGAGTGGGTGTGTAACTACAGGGGGGTGGGGCCTTTCTGCCTCATGTGGTGATCTCTAAAACTGTTAAGGAAGTGGGTATTGGGGTCAACTGTCAAGATAAATAAAAGTTAGGGTTGTTGCGAAGAGCAGGTCTGGAGGAGGAGCTAGCTGAAGAGGAGAAGGAAGTAGGAGGAGCTTGGTTTGATTAGAGCCTATATAAAGAGGTTTTAGCAGAGGTGTGAGACTTTTGCACAAACCTGGACTCTCACTGGCAGCCATTGTGTGAAAATGTGAGTTTTCTATACATTTATGTTTACAATATATTGACGCTTAAGTTACTTAGAAGCTGAGAAAGTTTGCACATTGTGTTAATTCTTATTAAATTCAACATAGCCAGATAGTTACTCCATATATATTAGATTTATTTCATGATAATTAATACGTGGCACACATTTTCTCTTTAGATAAAACCATGACTATGCAATAAACTTCAATGAAGTGGATTCTTCCGGTGTCTCGTCGGCCTGACCCCTATAGTGTTAATCATAGTCCCTGGTTATCAGCCTACCTCTCATACAGTCCTGAACAACAGCAGTATTTCACAGGGTAGAAGGAAGGGGAATTTTAGGATTTTCAACAGTGAAGAGGGAAACAGATGAGGATGAGGAGGGACTGGAGGGGGGAAGGGAGCCTTCACTTCCTGGTGTGTACAAATTAAAGCTTTTAACCCAGTTTACCCCATGTACTGAGGGTTTCTACACGTGTTCTGCACACACCTATGTTCACTGAGTACAGAGTAATTCTCCCTTTCAATGTTTTGCCCTATTTTCAGTCTTTTCTATAGTGATTCCTAATCTATGAAGGTTAATATCAGCCTTTGTCCTACTTTTCTAAGCCCTGTACCCTGAGAGAGAGAGAGAGAGAGAGAGAGAGAGAGAGAGAGAGAGAGAGAGAGAGGGGTGCACAATGGACTGGGGTTGCTGTGGTGTCCCACCCCCTGTAAGAGTGGATTTATTTGGATTAGTCTACTAAGAAGGAGGCAAGCTGTTTCCTGTGTAGCACCAATCTGTACCCTTTATATGTAATGAGTTTACCTTCAAATTCCAGATGTAAATACAACTAAAAAGGACCAAAAAAACAATAACAGCTATTACAGCACAAGAGGGCTGTGTCCACAGTTAGTGACGTCTTACCGTCCTCTTCTTTAACGTTGGCTGTTTGGTTGCTGACTCTCTCTCCATTAGGTGGACTGGGCTCAGGCACTGGGGGCTGCTCAGCTGCGATCCATGTAGGCTCAGCGCTGTTCATCTCCTCGCTGCTCACCGAACTGTCATCCTGAAGGGAGACGGCGGGAGAGAAGAGAGAGGGATTCTCACACTTTTGACAAAAACTTCAGAGTTTCCCATTCATGCAGGAGAGATAGAGGAAGAAAAAGAAGATATCACAGTGTCTCTTTGCATCTCACACACTTTTTGGAGTTTATCTTAAAACAATACTGACATCCCCTTATGTGCAATGGAAAGCAGTAATCATTCCTGCTGTCCATACAAGCCACAAAGAAATCCCTGTGAGCAATGTGGTACAATATCCACAGTCTGTAATGACAACAATGCATTTTAAATCAAGTGGTTACCCTTCAAGGTTAGTATTTCTAGCATTAAATTCCTTCTTTGTGCGGTATTTTCTTGAACTTCTTGTAGCTTCAGTTGAATTTGAGATTGCATTTTTGCACAAAATTGACTGACTGTGGGTTTTTTCCCCCGTCAAAAGGAGTCTCTTTGAGGTCAGTATGGGCAGCAAGTACAATTACAGCAACAAATAACGCTCTCAACATACATTTATGGCTTGAAAGGATTGTGAACCTACCCTTTAATGGACATTTTGTTGATTTAATAAAACATGCTGAAGTCAACAAACCGTAAACGCAGGAGCCTCCTTGTTAAGTAACGTTTCTTGGAGCACTGCTATTTTTAACTCCTGTTACGTAGAGACCCTAAAGATGCTTGTTGTAGCGTAACACGAGTATGAGTAAAGCATGGGGGTAAGGATTAGCAAAGGAGAGCGGCGTAATCTCTCAAACTATTCAAAGACCGAGCTTCAAACTACAGGAATTACATCTGCTGAACAGCCAGGACCACATTTGTGACCAGTGCTGAGCTTCACAGAGCGACACAGGCCAGTTTACATCATGCTAACATAAATGGTGACTTCGCTATGGCCTGCGTGCACGCCGTCATGTGTCAGCTGGCAGAAGGGGGCAAAACTAAATGGATGGAAACAGAGCAGAAATGCATCTCGTCATCTCATCATTCCCCCCGCACGAGCACACAAATAGGCCTAAACTCCTGGGAGTATGCATCCCTCCCTCTGTAAGGGGTTTTGAGGAGGACCAAAATGCTCAGTGACAGCTCCATTAGGTACCAAGTGAGCATTGAAAAGAGAGCGAAGGAAAGAGTCTATAATTAAAGGTTCTAAGTTGTTGGAAATGTAGCATCATTAATGCTTTAGGAAAGTATATAATTGATAAAATGGGGGGGGGATTACTTTTAATAGTGAGACCAGGTGAGCCAAGAAATGAAGTTGAAGCACTTGGTGACCTTTGACTCAGATATTTTAGAATAAACTTTTGTTTCACCAATTAATACAAACAACAACATACAGTACAGAATATATTCAGAAGTTGATACAACTATTTTGATAATCTATTAGCTGTTTGGTTAATTCTTCAGATTAACACTCAGTGATTCAAGCTCTTTTATGATGATTTGATTTGTCTTTTATGTGGTAGTAAATTAAATATCTTTGGGTTTTAGTCTTTATGGACAAAACCAGCAATCTTGAGATATCATGTTGGGCTTTGATTTTCACTATTTCAGTGGTGTACACTCCAGTGTAAATCATATCTGAGGCATGTTCATCACATCTTTTTGTATGTAGTTTGTATCTTCACCACATGTCAAAGAGAGAGGTCGTCAAAGTTGTGCAGAACAACATTCAAACAGTGGAGGAGTGACTGCTGCAGCAGACTTAAATGCACACTCACAAATATCCTGCTTTTGTCAACAGGACAAACCTTGCTGCTTTTAAACTGCTCTGTAATCCACCACAGCAGAAATATGGAACAAATCACTACAAGTCTCCTACAACACTGCAATAACCCTCTGTGATGGTTAATTATTAAATTATTGGCCTGCTCATTCTCAGTCTGCACACAGATGCGTCCAACAGCCTGAGCATTTGTTAATTTGTACTCACCCGCAAATCACAGTCTGGGTCATTGTTCCGGATAATCCTAATTATGCGTGAGTGAGGTCGACATTATCATCATCAAGTACCGCTCCCTGCACTTTAGTGACAGTGGTTTCTGAGTGTTTCTGTCACAGCCACACATGGGAGTGGTCTCACACATGACGTCACTCTGCACATCTACTAATCCTCATTTCACACTGAGCTCCTCCTCCCAGCAGGACGACTGCTCTGATTCTTTAATATTGAATTAAAAGTTGAGAGGAAGGATGTCTTATTGTGCCAGCACAAAGGGTTTCTCCCTACAGCGTCGATGAGACTTAAAAAGAAAATAACCAGACAATTTGTGCAGTCAATACAAATACAATTATAGTGAAAAGGAGATCTTAACAACGGCTGGCTTTCTAATTAATCCATCAGGACACCTTGTATGTGTGCCCACGCTTCACAAACATTCACGGCCCACTTGCAGGGAGAGGTACTTACCCTCTCAGTGGCATTCATGCACTGCAGTTTCATTTGTTTCAGGTAGGTGGCAGTAAGAGGCATGTTGTAATCAATGAGGTCCGGGACCAGGGAGGTTGGTCTGTCATTTTCTGACAAAGAAAGCAAAGAAACATCACAGGATATTATGAATAATGATGATTGAATGTTTAATAAATATAGAAGAAAGCAAATTAATCAAGTTAGAACTAATCCTCAGTGAATCATTTCTAGTATATTTACTTCAGTACTGTACAGTTCTTTTAAGTACAATTTTAAGATGCTTGTACTTTAATTACTGTAACTTTATTTTACTTCTACTCCACTATATTTTACTGAGAAATATTGTACTTATGTCTGACAGATATACATTAGATTCAGATTTTAAGTATAAAACATACAATCAGTTTATAAGAAATGCCTTATTAGTACCAAACTGTGTATGAAATAGTTAGAATTGACTCCACCTTGACAAACTACACCATATACAAATGCTTACATATTAATATTAATACAAAACTAATGAACCAATAATATAATAATAATATAAGACTTATAGGGGCTGTTCAAAATTAAAAATGATGCTTTTATAGTGTGGTATTGCAATTTTTACTTCAGTAAATTATTTGAATGCTTCTTCCACCAAAACCCACCCAGAAAATAAATTAGTAAACAGAGATTTGATAACTTAAAATAACTGATATTAAAAGACATATAAACCCCTATACAATGTTATATAATTATAATAATGATAATGTAAGTATGTAATGATCTAATTGATATTTACACACATTCTTTTGTGATTTTAAGACCGTATTTGTGAGGTTCTGAGTCGGCTATATCAATATCTTTGGGCCCCCCTCAGACAACTCAGCGGCCTCTCACTCCCATACTTTTAACCATTAGAAAGAACCATTAAACATTTTCCATGAATCAGCTATTACCAGTTCCAGTTTGAAATGTACCCATTGATTTACACACAACTATAACTGGATCACTCTGAAACTGTAGTTTAAGTAGTAAAAGTAGTTCTGGACTTAGATAGAATGTCTTTTTTCTATGAGACCTGATGAAATAATATCCTTGGAAAGTCACACTGAATCATGTTCATTTGTTTGTGTTGTGACTCAGAGAAGAAGTCTAATTTTTGATGGCCAAACTGCAATAACTAACTTCTTCTTGTTGTTTTAGAGTAGATTGAAAAACTCTCACAACTACAAGTATAAATACCATAAAACTTAAATTAAAAACAGGGTCCCAAATACACGCAGGTCCCCTTCACCAGCCTGGTAATGGATGTATAAAACCTCTTAAAGCCCATTAGGTCACGCACTCAAGAGAGTTCTAATCTGCTTGTATCGCCTACACGAATATCAATATATGTCAATATGGACATGTTACATATTGTTAGATCAGTATCACTTAATTGATACGTTGTTCAAGTAATATTCATACTGGTTTAAATAAACAATCTGATAGTATTTCCCATCTTTTGTGCAAAAGGAATTAATGAACTGTCCCATATAGACGCAAATAAAAGGCCAGACTATTAATTTAAGTTTTATAGTATTAGAATTCAAACTGGATACCAATATAATACATTTCTGTGCCTTTTACAGTCTGAGCTGATCACACAGACAAATTCTCTGACTGAGGCAGAAGTGCTGCTGTATCCCGCCAAAGGTTGAAATCCAACCAAGTAGCCTTGACTGTATGAAACAACCTGAAATCATACAATGTGGCTGAGAGCCATCTGCAGTCTCCACACTGACCACTAGAGGGATTCTCTGATCTTCCAGTGGGTCCATACAATCCCAGAGATGTGGTCCTCTTGAGTCTTTGTTACATCATGTCGGTGATGGATATATACAATATGATTTATTAATGATGGTTTGATTCAAAAACTCTTCAAAGTGCAAAAAAACCTAAGATCACATCAGCTCATATTTAGTGTCTGACAGGACAACGGAGAACTTGCCATGTCTGTCATTCAACACCTCCTCCTTACGTGATAAAAACCAAATAAACATTTCTATGAATCTTATGATGAAATTATCCCACAACAACAACAACGTCTGGCTGTTGTAACAGAAGATTGATTGGTTCATACCATCTCAGCATGCATTGCAACATCCTAATTAACCGTTTTCCATGACAGTATGTCAAAGGATGTGAGAATTAGCCACTCTAAAAGGTTAATCTCAAAAATAGCATATCAGTTAATGATGTCTCCAGAATTAGTGAGCTATCCACAGGTCAGATGTGTGCCATTACCTTTGAACTCTGCCGTGCTGGGGTTGATGTGCATCCTCTTCTGACACTCTCCACAGCTCATTAGGAACCGAGTCACCGCCTCTCTGGGCAGGAAGGCGTAGGTCTCTGCTATCTGTGCCGGGAGAGTGAGCAGAGGAGACTGGGTTACGACAACAACAAAAAAAAAATGGCAGCAGATATGGCTCAGGCTGTGGCTGAACTCAAAATGTGTGCAGGTGTTTGGTTTTTTTTCGTACCATGCATGTGTGAAAGTTTTGGGTCAGTGATTATGTGTTATCTCGATGTGGCATGAGGAGGAATCCTCCCTCCGGGCGATCTCTCATGCCTTGAGATGGCCTAATTCCAGATTCCCTTGTATATGATACCCTAAAACACAAGTGTTTGTCATCTCTCTTCCTCTTCCTGCGCTCTCAGGTGCGGTTGACTCATATCTTCACCTCTCTCTCTCATGCTCTGCCTTCCTCCTCTGTTTGTCTCCGCTGCTATGCCACCCTCCCCTCCTCGCCCCCTCTGGCGTTTCCCTGTAAAATGCGACCTTCACGTGACCATGGAGAGGCAGCAGGGGTGCCCACCCCCACCGGCCCATTGCCGCCACCGCCACCATCACCACTGCCACAGCTCCCTATCCCCTTTGCCCCGCCCCCCTCCACCCCTCATGGCCCCTTGAGGCAGCTGAGAGGGAAAGGCCACCCAGAGGAGCGTGCGCCTCCCAGAAGGCCACAGTGACAGTTCCATATTATGCCCTGCCCCAGTGATGCTGCCTCCTCAAAAGGGTACACTCTATGAGACGTGACAGGACCTCTCTACAGGGCAGGAGGAATTGACTCTGTTTTTTTTTTTTTCCAATCCTGGGGGGCGAGAGGGTGGAGAGGAGGGGTACCAAAGTCCTGCTAAACCCCCTAACACTGCACTAAAGCAGCATGCAAAGCCCCTCGTTTGGTCAGGACACCACACCCGACCCGAGACCACACACCTCAGTTTGTTAAGTAAACTCATATACTGCCTTTGTTCCAGAGTCATCCACACGTACTTTGTTTTCCTGGTAAAAGTAGTTCCCTTGGTAACTTCTGATGCTAAAAATGATATATTGTGTTGCCAGAGCTAAGCAGTATAGCCTATTGTCTCTGACTGGAAAAAAAAATCTGATGGCCTCTGGGTGCTGCCTTTAGTCAGCGGCGTTTGGACGCTTTGGGCCCCTAAAAGGAATACTGACCTCACTTTGGGCCAATTTATAAAATAACCCGACTGTGATTCTTTTTTAAAACTCACTCCAGCTGCACTTCTCACACAAAGGAAAAGGAGGCGTTGTCTGCACGCTGTGATTTGCACGTTTCTAAAAAATGTTTTCATAAAAAAGAGCAGAATAAGCCTAAACTATATTTACAGACCAGAAAACACAGATCTGCCTACAATTAGGAGATGGACGTCTTTACATTGGACATATTTGTCCCTATTTGTTTTACAAAATGTGTTGCAAGCGTGTGACGGTGTACTTAGGCACAGTGGTACTTTGTGCTAAATGCTAATGTCAGCATAATAACATGCTTACAGTGACAATGCTAATATACTGATGTTTAGCAGGTAGCTATGATGTTCACCATTCACCAGCTTTGTTGGACATGTTAGCATGCTAAGATCTGATAATTGGGACAAAATACAAAGAACAGCAGAGGCTGATGGGAGTGTCATTAGTTTTTAACGTCTTTGAGCAACTTTACCTGCTGGCGGCTCTAGAGGAACATTTAGAAGATCACCAGAGTTAGGGTTTATCCTCTGAGGACCGTGAATGTCTGTACATTTCATGAAAAACAATTAAGAAGTTGTTAAGTGATTTAAGTCTGGAGCAAAGTGGTGGACGGACAAACTGATGTCCTGTACCCTCACAGATCTTCGAGCACACACACAGATGTTTTTCTGACAAAGAACTTATAAGTCAGACAAAAAAAAAAGAGATTTTTTTGGGAGCCAGCGATTTTCTGTGTAGACAACCTTTCTTTTTCTTTTGTGTGCAATTGTTTTCATGCACCACAGGAAAAGGCAGAGACAAGAGGGTAATGGTGACTTTACTGATATAATATATTCAATATCAACAAGTATAAAGAGATGCTGAGACTGAGAGCAGTGCAAGGTTAGCTGCAACCTGCAAGTACCCACCGCTTTGTAGGTCTTCTTTTGGCCTGCATGTTTGGGTGCTCTGCCCGGGTCGGCGCCCATTTCCACATGCATGGCATAGATGATGTCGAAGAAGTCTTCTACCACGGCTACACGCTTCAGGGAGGAGTTGTCTTGGGCTGAGTTCCCATCTGAACACTGAAAACACAGACAGAAGACTGGAGGTTAGTTTAATTCCCCGCCTCAGGCTCACAGATATGACATGTGTTGTATCATCTACAGCGGGAGATCTCTGATATTACAGCTGTAGTTATATTCCTGCATCCATGTGATGTGAGAAGGACCTTTAAGGCACATGAGTCATGGGTCATGTGGTTACAGACAGTCATGCACAAGGTGTCCTCACCAGCACTGACAAAAAAAAAAAAAAAAAAAACTTGAAACAACCTCCTTTGTGTTGTCCAGCCCTCCTTCCAGCAGTCATTGTCTATACATTTATCTCTCAGGTGGAGAAGTCTCGGCCCGGCCATCACCCCATCTCTGCAATGTTTAAAAATAACACCACAGACTCTGTACAGGACCGACAGTCCCTCCTACCACCACCTCTGGCGCCCGTGCTGCTGACCCTGTCGCCATAGAAACTGCCACTGATTTCTCCCGGGCAGGTGTGCTGGGCAAAGGGTCACGTGACTCGCCGTGCAAGTGGGATCGCCAGGACAACAGCCTCCATCCGCAGCACCACATGGGGCTTTTTCTCTCCTTTCTGCCTCCATGTTTTTTCCTCCAAGTAACTCTCTCATCCCCTTCATTCCCTCCAGACAAACAGTCAACACTTTGCATTTTCCCACTTATCTTTATATTTCTGCACCTGCTGATATTTCAAAGTGCCCCGGCAAGCATAAAATGGGGGAGAAAAATGGATTTGGGCATTTTAATTAGGTTTTTTTTTTTTCATCTCTTCCACACAGATATGAGACAAGCTCTGACATTTTGTGGAGATTGGGTTCTAGGTGGGGAGTGATCTTTTCTTGTTTGAGTGAGAGGAGGGTCCGGAGTTCAAAAAGTTGTCCCCCTGGCATTGAGGAATCACACTTTTTTTTCCTCTCCATCCTCTGCTTGACATTTCTGCACAGTTCCTGGGATCTGACATTTCATTTTCTCGTTTTCCCCCAACTGCGTCCTCTCTCCTGCCTCCATGTCTTCATCCCCTATACCTCCGTCCCGTCTTTCTTTCCTGCCCCCACCCCTCCACCTCCCACCCCCTCCTCTTCTCTCTCCTTGCTCCTGCTCTCCCAAGTGCGAGGTAATGATCGTTGCCATGGCAACTAAAACCAGCTCACAGAGCGGGTTTGTTTTAATCCGGCCCTCTCTCCCTCTCCCTCTCTCCCTCTCTCTCTCTCTCTCTCTCTCCCTCTTTTTCTCCCTCTCTCTTTCTAGCCACTCTCCCCTGTCAGCATGGGCTAAATGTAATGATAATAAATGAAATAATAGCGATCCTCCACCTCATCATCACAGCTGTAATCTATCGCACTTGGAGGTATCATCATCATTCCCCCAGTGACATCACCGCCGCCGCCGCCGCCGCCGCCGCCGCCACTGCTGCTGCTGCTACTGCTTGGGACAATGGTGTCAGGTCCATTCACGCTGGATTTAGATAATCTCATACAACTGTGGGGTGTGCAGTGCACCCACACTGCAGCTGCATCCTCCACTGAATTCTACCCCAACAAAATATCCAACATACACACCGGATATTCTGCTGGGCATGCATCCTCCCACCAGAAATTAGGGCTGCACAGTTAATCGAAATATTAGCAAAATTCCAATATGGCCAAGTGAAATATTTGCAGAGGCTGCAAATTTTTTTTTATAAAAGGTAAAAATGTGTGACAAAAGAACAATATGATGAAGTACTTTAGTGCTGCAGAGACGCCCTCTGCTTGTTCTCCAGATGTAAGAAAACACTAATTGTGAATTATATTGCAATATCTGTCAATATATCATGCAGCCCTACCTGAAATCCAACCAAAAAAACACACACATACATAATACTGCAACCCACCGGTGGTAAACTTGGCTAATTCTGCTGAAGTCTGAATACAAGACCTGTATCTGCAATGCTTTTGTGTAGGGCTGCAACTATTATATTCATTATTGATTTATTTTCTCAAAAAATGCCCACAAATCCCAATTTCCTAAGGCCGCAAGGTGACTTCTTGTAATGTCTTTTTTTTTTTTTGTCCAACAAACAGTCCAAAACCCAAAGATACTCAGTTTAAAATGATACAAAACAGAGATATTTTACAGCAAATCTTCACATTTGAGAAGCTGGAACTTGCATTTTGCCTTGAGAAAACAATCAATTATCAGAATAGTTACTAATTATTTTATAAATACATTAATCAAGCTATAACTTTTGTCTCCTCATGTAAGAACTTGCAAGCTTTTCTATCACTAGTCACGACGTCAGTCCTGCTATCTAAAGGCCTTCTTGGGCCCCTCTGCACCAATAAGCTCTTTAGTTTCCAAACACAAGTCAACAGGGAGTTGAACATTCACCTCAGAACACAACATGCTTTGGAGTGTGTGTATTAGTGTGTGCCATGTGTGTTTAAGTGCAGACCGTGTCTACCGGGCAGCGCTTGTATCTGAAGCATCTCAGAGGAGAACAGCTGTTGAACAGCGCCGTAGATATTTGGTCTCATCAGCAGCGTGCCGTTTTAAAGAGCAAAGGAGACATGTCAGCATCCCTAATCACCAACAACACCGCAAAAACTCTCGCCCTCCTTCTCTTCCTTTCCTCCTTCTCTCTATCTTTCTAATCCTGTAGGACTTTGCTCTCCCCCAGCCACTGTACAACCAGCCCCCATCCCCTGCGCGCACTCCCTGTCCCGCACCAAACCGCTCTGTTGCTAGGAGACTGGAGGGGTTGAGTCGGCTGCCCCCACCCCCGCTGGCAGTCACACGCACACACACGCGCGTGCGCACACACACACACACACAGACACACACACACACACACAACACACATAACACACACACACTGTAGCAGTCACTGAGGGGAGAGAGGAGCAGTCCTGCACACAGGCAGGTCAGGAGGAGGAGGTGGTGGAGGGAGGGAGGCAGGGAGGGAGGGAGGGAGGGAGTGAAGGGGGGGGTTCACGGGAAGCAGCTGGGTCACAAAGACAGGCCGGCAAAGATAGAAGAGATGCATCACACAAGGAATTAGCTCCACGGGTGAATGGATAAACACTCCTGTGACATGCAAAAAATCTCAATTTAGCCTTGCACTTAACTTTAAAAGTCAAGGTGCAACGTTCACGTGAAGGTGGTGCTTTATTTTGCAAGGTGGGTGCACAATAAGTAGCTTAAGTTGTGGCAGCAGTGATGTGTGCTCAGGTAGTTTCTGTGTGTGTGTGTGTGTGTGTGTGTGTGTGTGTGTGTGTGTGTGTGTGTGTGTGTGTGTGTGTGAGCGGGTAGGGAGTAAAGATGGCTGTGTCAACAGTACTCATGACTCAGATTATCTCACTGCAGATGTGACAACAGGTCATCTTTTAAAGCCCCATCTCCCCTCTGTAAATCTATCAACTGGCTAATGGACACGTAAATGGAACAATCCCTCTGTGTGCGTGTGTGTGCGTGCGTGCGTGTGCGTGTGCGTGTGCCCCAAGGGGAAGATAAAGGTTCATATAACAAAAAAAAACCTGATAAAGTAGAATATTACCTTCACTTTTTTTTTTTTTTAATAAATCCCATCCCCTTCTATTTCTTTTCACCATCATCCTCCTCTCTCCTCTCTGCCTCAATTATAAAGCCCTTGTCATTAAATCCACATTAGGTGCACTGAGCTCAACCCCTCTGTCCGACATCCGTGTGTGTATATGTGTGTGTGTGTGTGTGTGTGTGTGTGTGTGTGTGTGTGTTTCTCTCTCTCTCGGCTGCTCCCATGATGAACATTATTTGATAGAGTGTGTGACATCCCCAATATCCCACAGAGCCAGAGACAGAGACAGTCCCACCGGCCCGCAGACTGCCACTGTTGACGTTCCAGTCACTGACTCAAAATGGTATGTAAATGACTCGCACATACATCATCACCTCCCAGAGTCCATTTCACCATTTTCATACTGTCCCACTTTGTTAAATGTTGGCCTTGCAAAGGTATTAAAAAATGACAGTAGCGGTGTGGTAGGAAGATTATTGCCGTCTTAAAGGCTCTGTGTGTGTGTGTGTGTGTGTGTGTGTGTGTGTGTGTGTGTGTGTGTGTGTGTGTGTGTGTGAGAGAGAGAGAGAGAGAGTGTGTGTGTGTGTGTGTGTGTGTGTGTGTGTGTGTGTGTGTGTGTGTGTGTGTGTGTGCGGAGCAGAACTATCTCCCACACAGGGGGGAGGCCCCCGGGCCAGTTAAAAATGGTGTTAATTTCTCCTCCTATGGGAAAGCAAAGAACGGTCTCTCCATGGCAACAGAGAGGGTGCTGAAGGGAGGAAACACAGAGCATGCGATCAGCGACCCCCTCTTTGTACGAGCACGCACGCACACACACACACACGCACACACATACACACACACACACACACAAAACTAACACATGTGCAGGGATGGATGGATTTCATCACTGTAACGTCTGAAATTAACACATATTGACATTTCTTTATGAATCTCAGTTTGACTCTCATTAAACAAAGAAGTGTAGCTTCAAACAGACACATCTTCTCCACCTTTAAGCGCCTGATGATGAAGTCAACCACCACTACACACACACACACACACACACACACACACACACGGTAAACGCATCCATCTGTGACTGTTGACGAATGAGACGAGAAGGTGATTCTTGTATGGGGCGGTGAGCGTTTGCCGTTTGAACCCATGAGTGTGAGCCCATGTGTTGCCCCTAATAAGCGCTGCCAGAGTGGGTTGAAACACAAAAAAACAAAAAAAAAAAACACACACATCGGACAAAAGCACTGGAGATCCGCTATGCTAAAATAGCATTAATGCAAATGATGTTGAATAATAGGGCCAGTATTCTTTTGACTCTGTGGCCCTTCCACAAAAGAGGAGCTCTCAGGGGAAATGTGGACTAATTAATCAGATAATAATGATGATGTTCCCCTTCCCTGCTGACGGTGAGGCACAAACATTTAGGGCCCATTTTCCAAGACACAGACTATGAATAGTGGTTTCTGGTTTCTACACGAGGGAAGGACGGCCCGAGACAAACCTTTATCTTAGTAAATTGATAGCTTGATTAAACACTTAAACATTCTGAAAACCTCTTTCTGTGGTTTGTCCTGTTTAATTTTATGCTGTGCTGTCACTTTAATGATGAATCTGGAGACTATTTTTAATGAATCAGTGAATATTGTTGTTGATAAAATGTCCGAACATACTGAAAAATGGCCCATTATAACTTCAAAACCCAAATATGTTCAAGTTACTATTAAATAAGACAAAGAAAAGTAGCAAATCCTCACATCTGAGATGCTGGAACCAGAAAATGTTGTATTATTGGTTGGAAAAATGACCGAAAAGACTATTTGATTATCTAAATAGTTTCCAATATGGCTGCAACTAATAGCCGATTAATCGATTAGTTGATCACCAGAAAATAATTAGCAACTATTTTGATAAACGATTAATTGTTTCGAGTCTTTTGAACGTCAAATTCTTCTTAAAATGAAGCTTCAATTGGACAGTTAGCCGAAGGAAACATTTGACAGCTAAACCAAACATTAATCGAAAAAATGATTGACAGATTAATCGATAATGGAAAATAATTCTAAGTTGCAGCCCAAGTTGCCCAGTTAATTTTCTGCTGATCACCTATTAATGGTTTCAGCTTTAGGACACTTTGTTTATTTCTGTTCTGACAGACTTAATAATAATATTAATTGTTAATACGAGTTAAAATATAAAGGTTTTACACAAGCTGATGTTGACGGTGAAAGCATCTCCAGTAAGATTCAACTTTCACTTTTAAACATCATGTTCACTGTTTCTCAACTGTTATATACATGTATGTGTGTGTGTGTGTGTGTGTGTGTGTGTGTGTGTGTGTGTGTGGGGGGAGTGTGAGAGAGAGAGAGAGAGAGAGAGAGAGAGAGCATGTCCACCAAAACCGATTTGTGAGAGATGAACAGAGATATTTACAGATTTCAGTTGGCATGGCAACAAAAAGAAACAGCTCGCAGTACTTCAATTTTTTCAGTACAATGCTCACGTCAGCCGAAAGGAAATGCACAGGGCGTTTAAGCGTTTCTTTTGAAAACTGGCTGCACTCTGACTCCCTTCGTCTCGGGGAAAGTCTTGTTGCTCAGGCAGTGTGCAATTCTGTGGTGCATCTCTGTGTCTGTTTCTGGTCCTATTCCCCTCCTCCTCTGTAGCGTCCTCTAATCAGGACATAATGAGAGCTAAACGAGGTTGCATCTCCACACTGAGGGCTGCTGGATTCTCTGAGCAACTGCGAGGGCTCTGAGTTGTGCAGAAAGAAGGGGCGAGACGACGCGGGCTGGAGGACAGAGATGGACAGAAAAAACACAGAAAGAAAAAATAATTCTGTGTCCGGGCTTGAAAAGAAGGCATTTCCACTGAGTCAGTGCTACTGTGCCCTGCCTTTCTGTCCCGTCACACACTGAAGCCGCCTTGTATGCTTCACTGACACATAGAAGAGACCTTCTCTGTCTGCACATCAGCCACCATCCATCCCTACCCCCACCCAGCCTCCCGTCATTTAGCCCCATGCCTGCCCCCATACAGAAACTTGGCACACCCTGGGAGCAGCTGCAGCGGGGCATCCAATGCTGGAGCTCCAGAGACACGCCCCCGGCCCTGCAGCCTTATGAGGAGGCAGTGACCATTGTGTGTGTGTGTGTGTGTGTGTGTGTGTGTGTGTGTGTGTGTGCGTGTGTGTGTTTGTTTGTACGTCTCCTCGTGTGTGTGTGTGTGTTTGTGTCACTTTTCCACTGGCCCAGGACGAGCCTATTTATAAAGCCCATGAACGCTGAATCAAAAATCACGCTTTCTAATAGTCACATGCATTTAAATTGGTTGATTTCTTGCGTCTGACTCATCATAGAAGCAGCGTGTGTTGGCTGATGTTTTGTTTGTTGTTTAAATTTCCCAAGTGGTGCTGAGTCAGGGGGAGGTTTCCCCCCTGCTTTATGATATTAGCTACAAAGCGTGAGAACTCCTCTCCAATAAACAGTGAGCAACACTTTTTCAGGCAGACTGAGCCTCTCCAATGGTTTAATGTAACCTCAAATAATTATGTTAGATGGGCCTCAAAGGGAAATTAGGCTGTTGGTTGAGCTACAGAATGTTACATTGATGTAAATATATATATATATATATATATATATATATATATATATATATATATTTGACAAGGGGACATATAACAATCAACAGGAACTGACAAGAGTAACAGACAAAAGCTAATCAACAACACATTTCAGGCACCATCTGCACCTGCAGAGACAGATCACACCTGCCCTCTTGCCCAGAGGGAAACATAATATTGAGTGGAGATTAGAAGAGTTTTGTAAAGGCAGTTGGCTTAAATATAAATCGTGCATTCACACAGGTAAAACACCTGTGGAGGGATCAGTGATATATCAACCAAAATCAAAGGATTCGGTGTCTAATCGGTGCCAAAAACCTCCTTTAGTTTGTTACCAGAAAATGTGTTTCTGCTCTTTGAGGTCCAGAGAGACTCTGTCCCAACAGGGCGGGTGGGGGGAGATTATTCCCTGAAGGCGCTTATTTAAAATGGTGGTTGTCTCCTTGCTGGCACAGCAGGCCCAAACACCACACAGAGAAATGGGCGCGCGTGCACCGGCGCACGCGCACACACACGACCGAGCTACTGGGGCACTGCTGACTCTTCACCATGTTCACGTTTATCTTGGCGATCCGTTAAAAGAACAACGTGTGGTTTTTAACCCTGAATACACCTGCGGTCCCAGCAACGTGCAGCGGGACGTGTGGTGACCTGACTTCCATTACGCCCCAGTCCAGAGAAGTGAAGTCTGAGCACCAACTGTGGGCGTATGTCGCTATCAGTCCCGAGCAGACCCTTTTGTTTCCGCCACAGCCCCTCACGTGGTCACCAATTACGCACAGCTGCCACTCTGCATCAAATGTAGAAATTAATGTTTTTAAATGTTTCTCGTGCAAAGAAACGGGCTTTATGGGGCTTAATGTGGGGACGTACACAATAAAATGCGGCAGAGATTCAGACTATCCTGGACTACACAGGTGTTGCCAGAGCAACGAGTGCCTGCGAGCCGACTCGCATCCTTCCCAGGACAATGAAAAGTGGGGTGCAAACACTGAGACTGCCACACAATGATATTTCTTAATGAAACAATAAAGATATTTGAGTGTTTTTTAAACCCCATCCTTGCTCTCTCAGAGGAAGACACATCGATGTTGCCGACGCACGGACGCAGACACCGTATTGCTCGGTTTAGACGGGACAGTGAGGGCTCGTGTCTTTGATGAATCGCTGCCAATCAAACCCGCTGGAGCCACAAAGCACACAAAGGTGAATCTGACATCTTTCTAAGTTGGCATTGATACCAATATAGCCCCCCGAGAGGAGCACGCCGGAGCACCCTGACATACCCGACCCACGAACATGCCATTGCATTCACGCGCGCGCGCACAGCATCACCATATCGGGCAACACGAGACCCTGAACAGCACGGTTCAAACTAAATGTTGTCAATAGTCAATTATCTCGTGCTCTGCGCCCGGCAGCGTGCCGCTGACAGGACTTCAACCTCACTGGCGAGATGGCTATGCATGATAGCCTACCTTTTACAATAGCGATTGCCAGGAGGCACCGGCGTTGCTATGGCAGCAAGGGATGAGAGTAGGGCTGCTCTGGTTGGGATGTGGACAAAGTGAAGCTTTATCGGGGGGGGCGAGGGCGAGCCGGGACGACCAAACGTTATAAGTTGTCATTTTATTCGTGAGACGAAGTGCATGTGTGCAGCCTGGTAATAATGACAACTTATAGGCTAGGTGGCAACGGGACATCTCGTGCTCGTGTACACGCACGTTCTCGCTCTCGGTCACACATAAACGCACACGCACGCACACACACACACACACACACACACACACACACACACACACACACACTTACCGTTGACTTGACCGGGACATATAGGACGGGTTTCCCTGGAGCTCCTTTCTTGTTGTGCTCTCCCAAAACGTTGGTCCCGACCTGAAATCCTTTAGACTTCACCCAGAATTTGAATTTGGCGTTGATGTGGCTGTTGTCGATATAAACGCCATCCGACTCGTCGTTCTGCAACAGTGTCTGCATGATTTTGTTATATTTTCGCCGGGTGACGGTCTTTGTTTTACCGGAGTCTCCATAAGTCCGGAGACACCAGTCCTGAAATTCACTGAACATCTCCGCCTCCAACACGACCGGACTCCGGCTCCTTTTGGGCGCATCCACGCACGCCTTTTTCGTTGCCATCGTTCCCTCTCTCTCTCTCTCTCTCTCTCTCTCTCTCTCTCTCTCTCTCTGTCTCTGTCTGAACCCGTTCAAACAGCCCAGGCTAATAAAGAGAAAGACTTGAACGGGGTTGATTCTCCTCCCTCTGGTCCCCGCTGTCCCGCGTACAGGAGGCTCGGTTCAGGTTTTGGGACGCTACCTCCCTGTGGTTTCCTAGCAAAAGTGACCCGGACAGTAGCAGCACACCTGTTAGCGGAGGAGCAGTGCTGTCCCGAACCGCAGCGGTGAGAAATGTCACTTCCTCACATCATCCGCTGAGGAGCAAGAGAGGGGGGCTGTCCTACAGTACGCCGAGCGGGTATCTCCCACCTGTGCGTAAAACGCTCTTCACTAAAGGGTAGGCTGAAAAAAAAAAAAAACCCACAGTCCTCGCTAAACAACAAAGAACACAGACAAAAGCGTGGAAACAAACGTCGCTCTCAGTTCCTATCGACCTACTTTCTAACAGTCAACACTATTTTCGGATGCGGGTTGCTCAACCCTTAAAAAAAAAAGCGCAAATATGCTCACAACGTGCTCTTATATGGCCACATATCCGATCAACATGCGCCACCTGGGATTGTTTCTGCTCCTCACACCTGTTTGAATGTGATTCTCGCTTGCAGTGTCTCTGCGCTTTCTATCCCGTGAAAAAACACACACACACACACACACACACACAACCACACACAGTTTTATATATCTGCATCACACTAACTGGCTCAATTTGCAGCAGAGCCTGCGGTTTACAAGTATGCGTTATGTTGCCCAGGCGCAGAGAGAAAATGTCCGATATGGAGACGTGGAAGGTGAGAGAGGGTGGGGGCAGCGTTTATTTGATACTGTCTGAAGAATATGCCAGAAAACACTGAAAACACATTTTCCTTTCAGAGAGAGGAAACATTTTTTTAAGATACAAGTGGACAGTGATGTGTAGATGGATAAAAACGTGGGTGAAATTGTTCAAATCATGGTGGGAAACATACATCTATTTAAAAGACAACAACATCAGTTTAGTTAATGCCTTCTTTATTGTGATATACAGATTTTTACTGTGCAAATGAATAAAAAAAAACAGTTTAACAAATAGTTTATAAGTGATGTTTAGAGACCAAATTATTTTTAAAAATAAGTTTATTTTGTGAAGCTTTAATGTGATTTAAATCATCAACATCTGTCACAGTCAGAAATAATAATAATAAAGAAATAAAGCATTTTTTAAATTTAATTTCTCCTTTCTCACTTTCATATGTTGGGACAAAAACTGCACATATTTAGGATCTGCATTTGTCTCCATAAGTGTAGTTTTCTGCCTGTGTGATGTCGTGCTCTCATTGTGTGTGTGTGTGTGTGTGTGTGTGTGTGTGTGTGTGTGACTCCTCCTGGCCTGTGCATTATAGGCCCATGCTGGCGGTGGTGACTGCTGCTGTTGCCATGACAGCAGCGCAGCAGTGTCTCCGGCCGTGCAGAGGGTGAGTGGGATGCCCCGTCCTCATCTCCCTCCATCCTGACTCAAACAACGGCATGCTGGACAAAAAAGCCCCACCCCGACGAACAGCTCATCACTCGTCAGATAAAGAAAAACTGAACGCACGTGTGTGTGTGTGTGTGTGTGTGTGTGTGTGTGTGTGTGTGTGTGTGTGTGTGTGTGTGGTGAATGGTCGAGGCCTTTGGAAGCAATTTCATTTAATTTCATCATTTGGTCTCATGTTGTGTCTTCTCTCAGGACTGGCCTGCATGCAGGATGAGCTCCAGGGTCTCCCCATCCACCCCTCTGGGGAGGAAACATCTCAACACTGCTCTTATTTTGAAAGGTTTGGGGGGTTTTTTTTGGACACCAATCTACAGTTTGTTCTTGCAAATTACTATTCTTCTACAACCTGGAGGTTGGGACTCCCCACTAGGGGTCGCCAAAGCTCCATGGTGGGGTTGCGAGGCCTTCTTGATTTTAAGGGGTGTAAGAAAACTTCAAACATACACAGTAGGTCTGAATCTCATCGTCCTGCAGTAAAAAAGTACGTAGTTATAACAACCAAAGAGCACCAGGGAGAAGAAACATTGGATTTGTAAACAACAGAAGCCTGTTAAGTCTGTATGATTCTTTAAAAAAGAACTAAAAACATAATACAGACAGAGAACTGTATAAAAAGTTCCTTAAAATATAATAAAAACTAAAAATAATCTGCTCAAATTTCATCAAAATTACTCGTTTTACACAACCTTCCTTCTGTTATTGAGTTCACTGTTTACAGTTAATCAGTTGTTCTGTCCTGTTACTGTTACACATTTAATATAATATGAAATATCCATAAAATATGTCATTTAGTCAGGTGTCAGCAGTTTAGTCAATGATAGAAAAAGAAAAATATTGTACTTAATATATATACTAAGTACATTTACTCACATAAATAACTTGTACTTATAAGATAGATATATATATAGATATATAAGAAAATTGCCATTTTTTGCTACTTTAGACTTGTACTCTTGATTTCAGAGGGAAATATTATATTTTTTTTACTCCTCTACATTTCTCTGTCAGCTTACTTGTTACTTTGCACATAACATTTTACACACAGACACATATAAAATCACTTATGATGCATCATTATAGATGAAACTACCCAACAGAATCAGTTCAATCCGGAGAGACTCCTGATACATAGCTGTGTGCACACTAAAGATGAGAAACACTAACAGTAAATTTGTGACAGTTTTAGAGATATGAAACATCAAAATGTCTACAAACACTAGACCTGTGTTGTATATTTGTTTGTAGTTGTTTGCTTTTATTATCCCAAATGTTTCCAACAATGTTCAAACTCAGAGAAATCTGTCATTTTATTCAGGTAACGTTGGGTTTCAGTGGTCGCCTGTCAGTGGATATTCTCTCCTCTGGGTGTTGTCTGCCAGGAGCTGTCAAAAGTTTACTTTTTATCCAGTTTTAGGCGACATTTTTACAATAAACTGTTAAGATCTTGGTCATTTTTAACTCTATATTTGACAGTATGAAGGATTTTAGTCATAGTATAAGTAATTTCCCAACGGGATTATTAAAGTATGTCTGAAGACGTCCGGATCTTAAGTTAACAGAAAAACAAGCTGAGCTAACGTTAGCGGCAACATCGGAGAAACACAGATTTTTAAGGTGGAAATGCTTTATTTAGTGTTTTTACCAGTTTTAATCAGCGGGTCTGTTTGTTTTGGAGAGGAGGAGACCTCTGAGGATAATTCAGCTCCTGGTAGAAACCTCATGATCGATGAATGCTGAAGGAATCTTAACCGGGAGAAGCTGACTGCAATGGTTGTGAAGAAAACAACTCCCATGATCCCAATGCTATTTCATGTCTTTTGTTAGTGTTTTGATGTGAGAGAACCATCTAGAGGCAGAAATTACATTTTGTACATTTAAGATAAAAGATAAAAGAGTTTGTTGCATTTAACTCCAGGTATCATGTTTTCTTTTGGTTGGTAAAGTTAATCCAGTATCATGTTAGTATAAAGACCCAATCCAGGTCAATCAGAGGCTGAGAAGGTGAAAGTTTTCAGTATTTCCCACAAAAAAAAATATTTAAAAGCAAGGAAATGTAAACAAATTCCAGATTTTTATACGTAATCATCTGGTGGACCCTCAGATTTATCTTGGGATCCTTTGAGGGATCCACTGGGAGAACCAGTGGGCTATAAAATTACAACGCTGCTCACACATTAATGCATCAGAAATAATAATAATCAAATAACAATATTTAATCACACAACACACAGCGGTTATTTTCTGCCTAGTGAGTTCTCACTTTTGATGTTTTAAGTACATCTTGCTGATAATATTGCTGCTTATATTTAAACTACTTCAATTGTTGTGTCACTGTCTTACTCAAGTAAATAATCTAAATGCTTCTTTCACCACTGGACAAACATCCACACATTTAACAGGACTGCTCTCATGTAACACACCGATCCCCTCTCATCCTCTGTGCAGAGATCATCTCTCAGCGCCACCATACGTGCGGTTCAGCTGTCAGACCTGTAGGCAGGGTCACGCCTCCTCACTCCTAATGAGGCAAAACTGCTGTAATTACGCTCACAATCCCCCACTGAGCGCTTTCCTTTCACCATGAGGTGGACAACTCCTGTCCTGGAGGGCCACAGCGAGGGCTGTCTCACACTGAGACACCCCACATTCAAAAATAAAACCCCTCACTTAAAAACTCAGGCCTGTTGACAGCAGCTTCATACCCATCTGCTTACAACCTGACCTGCACCCACTAACCCCTGTGTGTTACAAGTAATACTCAGCCTGAGAAAATCTGCTATATAATGTAATCTGTGGCACAAAACTCAACATAAAAATGTCAGTGGAGAATATAACTACACTTCCCAAGATGCATTTTGGGGAGAAACATCCAATCAATCTTATAATTCTGCCACCGCCTGCATTTGATGGGAGCTTAAATTTGTAAATTTGGGATGAATTCAGTAAATATAACATCCAGATTTGTTAGCAACACCAACAACAAAGCATTTGGAATTAGCTAAAGCTCTGGTTCGCGCCTCTGAATTGGCTTCTTCTCCATGGCAACGGCGGACGAGGCTCATGGGTAATGTAGTATTTAGACCTGTCCGCTGTTCCAAAATGACGTAGAAATATTAATACAATAGTGTGAAAATAGTCCTGCAAAAAGTTTTCTATATGCAAAATAAACAGCTTGAGAGTCTGTTAAATATATTAATTATATATTACATTATTTATTATGCAGATTGTGTTATTCAAGATTTAATTGACTCCAAGTCTGTATTTGTTATATTTAACACAGACATTTCTTAACCATTCTTTCTTTTTTGGATAAGAAATCTTATGAGTATTTTACTGTTATTTATAGCTTTATTGTTTTTATTTGTATTATAAAATACAATAATACAATAAAAGGCAGTTCTAGATCACACGTAAGCAGCGTTTTATTGTTGCAGCTGGTCACACAGATAAGCTTATTTTTTCCAACTTTACATACTGTTGGCTCCTTTAATTGAAAATAATCCTTGATATTTTATAAGTTCCTCATATGTTTTGTATGTAGCATCTTATCTTATCTAATGTGCAAAGAATAGCAGTCAAATAAAAGTGTTAGAAAAAGTACAATTACCCCTAAAGTAGCATAAAATGCAAATACTCAACAAACTGTACTTAGTACTATACTTGAGTAAATGTACATTAAGTCTCCCCCACTGATGGCA